TAATTTAGAAATGCGAGGTGTTATAAACCACTACTCCAAGCCCTCTCTAAACCTCTCAAAATACCCCACAATTCTGCTTTAAAGGAAGAACAAAAGCCCAACCTATAAGCAAATCCGTCCAACCAAATACCTTGAGAGTTTCTAATTACTCCTCCACAAACTGCCATGCTAGGATTACCACGGGATGCTCCATCAGTATTCTCCTTCACAAAGCCTTCCTCAGGAAAATTCCAAGTTACTATAACATTTTTGAAATGAGGATTATATCTATATGAATTTTGAAGTGATGCAGCCATATCAATATCTTTAACATAATTTTTAATTATTTGTACTCTACTCCCAATCAGTCGCACATTTCCACCATGATTCAACATATTCCTCCAACTCCAAATTTTCCAGCAAGCGACCATAAAAATAGAAAGCCACCTGTCATGATCACTCTGAAAAAAATCATCACTGAAATTAAATGTAAGCCAGTGATCTATTGTAGCATTATAAAAGTTAGCACTATGTGTAGTTGGAATAAGACAATCCCAAACCATTTTAGCCCTGTGACAGTCTCTTAAAGAATGAATAATAGTTTCCAACTCACCACTTCCACAATTACACAATCCATCTCCACCATACCAAGAGGAAATCATACTATTTGTTAACAGTTTCTAATGCAGCAGCTTCCATGCAAATTTTTTGATTTTGCGAGGTCCCTTCCAAGACCAAAGCCTACTCCAAATCTTCTCAGTATCATCATCAATAACTTCATTGTTAGAAAGATAATCATATAAAGCACCAACAGAAATAGAATGGGATTTTTGGATCTCCCATATCTTTTTGTCAGGTCCATCTTTGACCATGGGAGGCAAAACACTACGAATAATATCAATTGGTAACTAATTATTCAGCTTAATAAAATCCCACTCACCTGATTGCTTTACTACATTAGCAACCTTTAAGTTATCCAGCTGTTGTGTGTCCTCATTAACAGCAAAATCTTCCAATGTCAAGGAGCTTGGCAACCACTTGTCCTTCCAAAACCTAACCTCCTTACCATTTCAAAATTCCCACACCATATTATCCTCGCCACATCCTGCACACATTTTTCCATAGACTAGAATCACCCTTTTTTGCAGCAAAAAAGGAATTTATCCTATTACCAACCTTGTATTTAGCTTGAAGCACTTGCACCCAAAGCTGGTCTGGCTCTGTATAAATTTTCCACGCCTTTTTTGCCAGAAAAGAATCATTCATCTGAGCTAAATTTCTCAACCCCAGGCTAACATGAAGTTTAGGAGATGTGACTATATTCCAATTAATGGAATGATGTCTACGAGCCTTTTCATTATCACCCCATATAAAATTTCTTTACAGCTTCTCTATGTTCTCACACATAGGGGTGTTCAAAATGTCCAAAAGAACCAAACCAATCCATAATCAAACTGCTCCATATTTTAAAAATCTGTTATTTTTAAAAACCGGTTTCATATGAAACTACATTTTATTTTATAAACCGGTTATTTACCAAAACATAAAAATAATTGGTTATCCATAATCAAACTGCTTTACAATTAAAGAACAAATAAGTATTATCTTTTATCATGTCTATTATATTAGTCAATTAACTCAAACTTTCAAACAATAAACTAGCAAAAAAAGTTAAGCAGCTCAAGTAGAAAATATTTATTTAAAAAAAATTACACATAAATCGAAAGGTCACATCCTAAGAAAGCACTTCTTATGTAATGTAACAACTTTTTTTCCAAAAAAAAAATAACCACATAAAAACCTCCGGGTAAACTCACAACTTGACAAGGCAAAGGCTTTGAAATGGCAAAGATGAAGTTAAAAAATCATAAACGAAAAGAGCAACGAAATTAATCAATTGACTTAACATCTCTAAGATGTTTAAGATGATGAATCAACATCGTTAAAAGGACAACTCACAACGAATTTACTTATTTGTTCTTTAATTATGGAGCAGTTTGGTTATGGATAACCAATTATTTTTATGGTTTGATAAATAACAAGTTTATAAAATAAAATACAGTTTCATATGAAACCGATTTTTAAAAATAATCGATTTTTAAAATGTGGAGCAGTCTGGTTATGGATTGGTTTGGTTCTTTTGGACATTTTGAACATCCCTATCCATACCTTCCTCCATCAGTTCAAATGAAACTCTAAGTAACATAAATCTTGAGAGAACGAAGAACAATTTTTTTATAATTTTAAATTAGTTCAACAATTCTTCTATCAATCACTCTAAAAAATAACGTGAAATAATTTCTATAAGAATCATTTCGTACTTAGAGTTCCAAAACAATGAAGATTCTTGCAAGAAATAGTTGGTCAACTACCTATAACTGGGAGAAACAAACGACTACTTATAAAATAGCACAATTAATCAAAAACTGATTTTGAATTTGTTAAAATACCGATTTTGAAATTGATAATCAGTTTATGGTTCATAACAGGTGTTGATTTAAAACCGGTTTAAAATCGATTTTCAATCAAAACCGGTTTAAAATCGGTTTTAATTCAAAACCGGTTATAAACCATAAACCGGTTTTGGAAACGATTTGAAACCGGTTTAGAAAATTAAAAAACTGGTTTTAAAAGAAAAAATCGGTTCGGTTTGAAAACCAAACCATTTAAAATCGGTTCGGTTCTTGTTAAAACCGGTTATGAACCGCTCCACGCACACCCTTACTCACACACCATCAAAGGAAGTTTACAACTTTGCATTTGATAAGATGGAATTGTAGACAAAATAGATTGAGAAAGAGTAATCTTACTTGCTTGTGAAAGGCACTGTTGCTCCCAACTTTTAAGCTTGCTCTTAACTTTTTCCACCAACCCTCCATATAAGTTCTTAGAAACTCTACCTTGACACATCATATCTCCAAGATACCTTCCTACATTTATCTACTACTTAAACATAAAAGGAGCGACCCCATCATTTTTTTGTTTCTCATTTCTTTCTATTTTCTCTCTCTATTCTTTTGTCTACTTTAAAAACAGAAATAATATTTCTTTAAATTAATTCTTCAATGATGGGATTATAGTACCTTAGAAAGCCCCCTCAGACACAAAAGCATGGTGGGGCCTCCCATATTTAAAAAAAATATAAAGAAATTTGAGTCTATAGACACCGATACATTCCGACACGCGATCAATATTTTTGGATATGCGGTCAATGCTCCGACACGTTTCGACACTTTTTTTGGACACGCAGTCAACATTTTCCGACACGCGGTCAACGTTCCGACACATTTTTTTTTACTTCTTAATTTTATTTTATTAACTAAAAATAAAAAAAACTAAAAATCAATTTTTTTCTGTTATGATATTTACATGAAAAAATTAACAAGGTACGAAAAATTAATTTTGTTTATATTTATGTTATGAAATTTGAATATTTGATTGGGTATATGACTTATTATAGGTTGTTATATGTATAAAATATAAATTATATTATATATTTTAAAAACATTATTTAATATCAAAACGTATCCCAACGTGTCGAAATATGACATTTTCTGGAATTAACGTGTCGGCGTGTCGAGTCGTATCCCGTGTCTCGTGTCAGTGCCGGTGCATCATAGTCTATGGCATAAGAAAAACACTTTTTTTTCCCATTTTAAAAACCAACTTAATAATATCATTTTTAAAGAATTATGTTGTGATATATTAATTTTTCAAAAGGATAATTTAATAAAAAAATATTTAAAATAATAATGTAGTAACAACATAATTTTCTAAAGACATAAAAAAATCACTATTATTAAATTAAAATTAGTATCATATTAAATATTAAATATCATTTTTATTATTATGAACTATGAATGTATTTTTGATAAAAAAAATGTTTAAAATTCTAGTTTTTATGCATGATATAAATATAATATAACTAGTACATTTCAAGTGTGGTTATTGTATTAATAAAATTTCATTTTTTAAACCACCAAAAAAACCTCATTTTTAAATTCATTTAAAAAGCTTTTATTTGTCATAGAATATAATTATTTGAAAGCGGAAATTGTTGCAAGCGGCAAAAGTTTTTTTTTTCAGTTGTATTTAGAATAATGTTCTTAGTATTAGTTTAGTAGCAAGAGTTGTAAAATATGATTTATGTTTTGAATAATGTTCTTAGTATTAATAAGTATAACATCTCCCAATCATAAAATATGATTTTTCTTTTGGAGAACACTTATTTATAAAAATAATTATTTTTTAAAGTTATCTTAAGATTAAAATTAATTTAAACACGAATTGACACTAAAAGAGTAATAATATCAAACCAGCCTAGCATGATCAATTTGTCAAATTATGTAAAGTCGGATTAACAAACTGAAACTCAAAAATCAAAATTGTTTAAAAAAAATTAATAATAATAATAATTGAAAATTTCATCTAAATTAATCTAATCAGAATTATTATAGGGTTCGTTTTTCCTGATAAGTTATCTGCAGTAAGCCCAATACAACATCGTTTTGAGGCGAAAATTTATAATTTTTTAAGATTTCAATATCAAAACGACGTTGTTTTGAAATAAATGCAGATAACTTATCTGCATTAACTGCAGAAATATTTTTCTCATTATTATAACAAATTACCATTTAAGTTAATTTTAGCTTTACAAATATTTGTTTTTATAAGTTTTTATTTAACTATGAAAATAAACCTAAAATATCTTATATCAATTTCAAAAGTTGTTTCAATAAGCTGAACTAAACATTGCCAAAAACTTCGTAAGTGCTCATTACCTTAATAAATTCATCAAAATAGAGCTATAGCTTGACACTGTACAGTAGAATAAATAAGCTGCAAGGCTATTTTGTGACTCAGAGATAACTTTGTCCTCGTTTAATATTAACTTGTAATCATGTGATGTGACAATACTGCAATTAGAAAAATAACTATAATTAATTGTCATTTAAAAAAAAATTCAGTATACCATAATTTTTCTGAAAATGTATTAGATTGGTAATATTAGTTTAAACATAAGCAAAATCTGAATACATAGCTATATTGGAACATGGGTCAATATGACCCTGGTTTCCTTGACAAGGACAAAAAATGCTTACAAAAACAACCAAAAAAATGAGAATCCTAAGGCGAGTCCTATCAGAAAACCGTTCTAACAATTAATAAATTACCGAACTATCAAAATTCACTAATAAATAGTTTTCCCAGCTAAAAGCCTTCATCTTCTCTTGCATCTTAAGAAGCTAATCTGCTACTTAACAAATACTGGCTTCCTCAGTTTCTGCAACTTAAGCATGATGTTTATGGAGGGCTTCTTCAGGTAACAAAACCCTGAAAACAGCATAATGATGATTTAAGCTCTTCTCTCCCTGTAATCTGTGAACACTACCCAAGGCACCGGCATTAGGGTTTGGGAAAGCATAAAATATCCGCCTAATTCTCTGATGGACAAGAGCCATAGCACACCTGGCATCACAGTGGAGGGCAAATTTAGGCAAATATATCAGATAAGATTTAATCATCTGAAAGTGAAACCTCATATAAAAGGAGAATCAGAATTATAAAATTTCTCTCATCATTCTATGAGGCACAGGGCATTGGAGAATCAAAATGCTATTGCTAGCCTCTTATCTTGGTATTCCCCTCATAGATAAGTAAACAAGACCAATTCAGACTTCAAAGGGAATTCAACGAAGTTACAGAAGTATCTTGTCTATAAGCTTACATTGGGCATGGCTCCCAAACAAGATAGATGTCATAACCAGTGCATAAGTACGGGCGCGCTGACAGCTGGTCAGAAGTCAGACTATGAGTATTCAATTTATCATCATCCTCAACCTGAAACCCCAAATCCAATACCAAAATAAAGATTTCAACGTAATATACTCGATTGAAAATGATCAACAACTATAATCAACATAAAGGTCATTGCATATGTATATTATGTTTCCATATTGCCAATGTTGACTTTGGTGTGAAATGCTTCATTAGGTTTAGGTTATCAGCAATAACTAATTGTCAGAGTTTTCCATCTAGACAATTCTTTGGACAACTGTTGTAAAGATAATATACATGTCAAGTAAATGCATGCTTCTGCCTCCTTAGCCATCTGCACAATATTTATGCAAACAATATTACAGACTTAATATTTTAAGGTCATAAAAACCTCCATAAAGTTTCCTACAGAATAAGTTACTTGAAACTAAGAAAGCGATACCAGGAGTTCAGGACGTTCTTAATATTTTTGTTGGAGTGGTAAAGTTAAAACTTCATATAGATGAGCAGCTGCAACTGGTTACTAAAGTATACACTAGCCAGGTTCCTTAAATAGACCAAATATCAGGTGTCCGTAAACTTACATTCGCACAAACAATTTTCTGTCTCTTTGTAGGAGAGCTTGTCCAAGAAGAATTCTCGTGATCCAGTTCCAAATATTTTTCTTCATTGTTCCCCTCACTGGGAAAAAAAGATCTATCCCTGGCAGCAGATGATTCTATAGCTGCAATGGCAGCATGTTGCAAAGGATGCCAATGACATGAACTCTGTGAATGTGATTGCTGCTCAGCCCATTGCCAAGGATATAAACAAGCAACACCCTTATATGGTTGTTTGAGCTGATTGGAGGAACCATTTGTATGCAATGGTTCATGGGGTGTAAATCCATTGGAAATAGGATTGGAACTTAATAATTCTGGTTTTTTATAGAAGCTGGAGTCGATGCTACTGTCCTCTTTGCAAGAGTTCCAAGCAAAAACCTGATCACGTGCACTAGAAATTATTTGCTTAGCTGAAGGATCCACTATCACTGCAGCATTGACTACCTAAACAGATCAAAATTTAGGTAAGTAGCAGCTGAACGCATTAAAAATAATTCAAGCTGTTTCTCATGAAGTGAAGCAACTGAAGTTAAGTCAGGTATGAGTGCATTATTTCTTGTGCACAAATTGTATGAAAAAGGAAAAAATTGCACATTTACCAAGCCTTCAGATGTTGCCAACTCAATAGATGATTGCATAAACTTCAAAACTAATTGTGAGTCCTCCTCGCTAAATCCAGTAATGCCATCAATGTTGCTGTAATTTAATAGAAAATGCCAAGCCAACTCCATTAGCAAAGTCAGCTATTATCATACAAGACAAGGTTTTGTATTCTCATCTAGTAAGATTATTGACAAATATGAAACCAATACATGTTGAGATATCCAACATATGACATCCACAAAATTTCACTCAAAACAATAAATAAATAATACCATGCTTTAATATGTTTTGTAAAAATTTGATGATCAGAATTTTTCTGACGTGTGAAACAAATAAAAACAAGACCTCGATGGACCAGAGGGTCCTCACATCCACCATGTCTCCAATTTCAATATTTACACAGTCCAAAATTTCAAAAACCTCCTTTGTCCCTTTCCCAGTCAAACTCCCAACACACCCAGTTTTTACCCACAGAATATACTTTGCTTAGATCAATACATAGAATAAAACTTTCATACAAACCACCGACAAATATTATATGTCAGATACTATAATTACAAGATATATCATAAAAATGTAATCAAGCCTGGGTTATTTACGAAAATTGAAAACAATGTGTTAGGAACTTCCAATTCAATAACAGCAATCAACTCAGAAACACCAGTTATGGGACTGAATAATCCATTTTCATATATTTGTGAAACAAATTACAACCGAGACTAGAATTCAAATACAATGCTTAAGTAAACTAACAACTCTTCTGTAAGAAAAATAACAATGCAAAGCAGAACGAAAAGTAAAGATAAGCGTGAGACAGTTGGAGAGGTCTCACTCTCTCCCAAGCACCAATGTTCTACTATTTTCTCTTGATATCTGGTATCATGCGTCTCCACTTCCTTATAACAGAATTCCCCCAGCCTTGCCCTCCCACGCATGCATTCTGTTAAGGGGCAACTTGGTCATCCCCTCCAGCTGTTACAGATTCATTACCCAATGGCCCTTCAATCTGGCTTGAGCCCATTTCGACATTGCCCAATTGATTTGAGCCCATTTCAGCCTTAGCAGCCCATGTTCGTCTGTTTTTATCCCTCTTATACACATGTGTAACTGGGTTCCTAACACAATGATTACACACTGGATATTAAAAAAAACAAGGGTGCTCACCCTAGTTTATTATTCTGATCCAGGAAGCGCCAGTAATTACAACTACTGTGTGAATTACCAAGCAAACTAGACACGTTGGCTAACAGGTAACTCTCATAGATATTTTATATTAAGTGTCTGGCTGTCTTGCCAATCAGCACTTCAAGTTAAAAGATGTATTCCTTGGAATTTCATTTAACAGTACTTATTATTTTAATATGGATTGTTTTATTCATCTGATGATAGCTTTCATATATAAGCTACCTGAACTTTAATATACTTAAAATGGAACCAACAGTTTTTGATTTTTTTATAAAAGGCAGCAAAGATAATGCAAAAGAAAGAGAGAAAGAGTAACAATATGAAGCTTACTAAGTCCTCGGATGATATGACGTAGGCCAAAATTTGCATTGCTCTTGCCACTCTTCTTTTGATGTGGCAGCATATTTGCAGACCTAAAGTAAATTAAATACAAATTTAATGCACGAACCAACTTATGTAAAAACAACAAAGACCAAGAGTCCTCAGGATTCCAACCAAAACTCACGGTAATTTCTTAAATTAATCAATAATCTTACTTTGTCTACATTGACAGTGGACCCTAAAAAAATATTGGATAGGCAGTTAACTAACATACATTGACATTTGATAAACAAATGATTAAATTAAACTAAAACTCCATTCAAATGTAAATTACTGATTTCCAATGCTGAGGGTTTGCTGTTTCTTTTAAATTGATGATTTAGTTAGCGAACTTTAGAAGACCAAAAAAAAGGAAGAAGAAGAAATGATAGAAGCTTTGAGATTAAATTTTAATGATTAACTTAGTATCATAAACTAAAATATGAAATTACTTACATGAAAATGAGAAGTAAATTACCATTCATTCCACTATAAATATCATATAGCTATACAACTTCAACCATAATCACAATAATCAAAACAAAATAAGTCAAAACTCGCCATAACCATTTAGAAATCAATATTTGAAACACTCTTCATATTTTTCATCTTATATCTTTCTATGATCAAACCACAATATAAGCAAGTATTAACTAATGTAAAAACAAAAAAATACCAAAATAAACGAAGACCCACTTTTGTGATAAAAGGACTCAACTGATACGAATTGATCAACTCCTGAAGATGAGGTGGCACATTATCCAATTGATTGTCACCTTCAGATGCCAGACACAAGATCACAGATAGATGTATTTGTCCTGTCAAACATTCCCAATGCCACCAGCAATTAAATTCCACAACAGTTGATGACTATGATTTTTCAGGACTCATAGGTTTTATACACACTCATATATATTCCAATAACCTTGATTCACAGCCAAGAATATTTTCAACACTTAGGTGTGAGAGTTTATGCATTTGTTAAAAGTGAATATACTCACTCACTAAAAATAAAATAAAAAGGATCAATTTAAGAGCTTCATCAATGATATCCATTTAATAAAAAATAATGGAAATTAGACAACAAATTGACACAAAAATAGCATTAAGAAAAAAAGATATGAGAAACCATCAGACCTCCTTCTAGAACGTTCTTCTGAATTCGTTTCACGTGACGGAGGTTTTCGAGTGGTGCTATCTGATTCAAACGCCTAACAAGAAATTTAACAAACTTCCACAAATTAGTTCATAAAGCTCATAGGCATTAAGATTTCGAACAAGAGCTAACCTCACAATCTGGTTGGCATGCTTTGGGTCTATGGCTGAAGCAAAAACGTTCTCTGCAAGTAGCAAACAAAGCATCACTGTTCAGTTAATACCAAAGAAAAACGAAAAGCTTGAAGTAATAATAGGTTTTGATAATGTTACCAGTGGGTTGGTGGTGAAGGTCGTGTAGCTGCTTGTCTGGGATATGCACAATCAAGTGGTTATTCATCGTTATTTCACTGTTCTCGTTTTGCTACGTTTCGTTACGTTTCGTATCGTTATGTTTCCCCTAAAACTGAACGATGCTGATGCAGTGAATGAGGAGCGTGTCGAAAATTAAATGGGCTGAGAATTGGGCCAACATAATGACAATCATAAGGCCCAATTAGCTAGTAATTGACGTGTCACGTGGAATGGGTGTTGTGGAGTGTGGAGAAGCAAAAGGGATAACAGAAGTTGAAAGCTAAGAACAGAATAAATTGCCAACGTTGGAAAACAAAAACGCAGGACTGTCTGTGTCTCCAGTGCACGAATACCATACTATACAATCTTTTAAACATTGGTGCCTCTTATGTTGGTTTCAATTTTGTGTTTCTCATAATTTAATGGTTGATGCATATTTAATGGGATGGGAGCTCAGAAGAGCATCCATGCTGGCAAAGGTTAGATTAATCAAATGCTCAAATCTTTCATTTTTTGTTTGCTCCCTTCATTGCAAAACTTTTTTTTTTTTTTAAATATATTTGTTTTTACTGATAAGTTTTTCTTTTTGCTATCTGTTCGGGTGGTTTTACAGCAAAGATTGACGTTAATGTTGATTTTACTCACAAGCTATGCGCTTCTATGATGTTCCCTACCCTCAGGTTTGTGTTGGCTTCATTTATTTCAGGAACATATTTGAAAAATGTTATTTTTTTATTTATTTTGTTTAAACTCATAAATATGTTACCGATTATTATTTTGCATTTTCCGCTAACAGAAGTTCTGGCAGTCCTCTTTCACTGGTGATTGGGAGGTAAGAATCTCAGTTTTTGTTAGAGATATTAATATAAAAATCATTAATGCTGTCATCATTTTCCGTCTTAAACTTTTAGATTGAATTGTTTCTTTACATGATAATAGACCTAGAGTTTTCCTCGTAACCCTTATTCTATTAATAAATAATTAAATATTGTGAAATTTATTTACGGTTTTTTTTATTTTTTATTTTTGTAACTTGGTTCTTTATAGTTTGTTTCCTTGGTGTTATCATTTTATGTAAGTGAAATCTTGGTTGGATCTGTATGGCAAAATTTAGAACTTGGTAACTTTGTGTTATGCATTTTGTTGTTGAGGGAATTGCAATGTTCTCCCAGAATTGTGGAATGAATAATTCAACTTTTTTTGTTCTGATTAGTATTTGCATCAAACATCCAAACTTATTTGGTGGAAGTGAGAAGCTCGATCTTTCATGGGACAAGGGTCTGTATGATTCAAATGTCCTAGTCGCCTATAGAAGGCCACTTCCAGAATGGCTTGCTCAGCAGTCTTTTGTATTGCAGGTTGGCTTTGTTTTTCTATCATTATATTTTATGGCATGAGAGATTATGCAAGACCATGCTGTTCAATAAGCTTATTTTCAAATGGAGTTTTCTTTGTGCCAGCGGGAGGATAAATCAAACCATTAAACCCCGACTAGTTGGAGGATCTTAAGCTGAATTTAAGTTATTTAATCTGTGAAACCTACAAATTTGGGTGAAATTTTGTAGCAAATTCTTAAAATCTACTTGTGTGTCACCCTTTTTCTTCTTCCAGCATTCTCTTTCACCTGAGATTGGAGTCCATGGTATCCCTGTAAACAATTTCTCCCGCTCAGGAAGTGGAGGTGTAAATTTATCTCGATTATCAGTGGGGCTGGACCTGAAGGAACCTGCGAGTTCAAAATGGAGCAGCACAACCAGCATAAAGTTTGAGGTTCAGCTAGACTTTTCTTGAATCTGTCATAATATTAAATTCCAACCTACATGTGTTTATTTGCTTCACATTACTCTTTGATTTGGTTATAAAGTGCAAACTAATATTGTAAACCATCATGCAGCATGTTCGCCCATTGAACAATGATGGTCGCTCTATAAGTAGAGATTATGATGGCTTTCCTTTGACTTGCAGGTAATCAAGGAGTCTAGTATTCCAGTTCTCAAAATGTTGAATTTTTTTTTTATTTTTTGAAAGAATGTTGAACTGATTTTGATCATATGATGTACATTGCTTGTTGCAGTGGCAATCCACATGACAGTATGGTGGTGTTAAAGCAAGAGTCTCGATTTGCAAAGGCCAATGATCGTAGCTTTTTTCATGTAATAAGATTTATTTTTTATTTCCAGTTTGCTTCCTAGTTCCTATTTATATGATTGTGAAACCATTAGTTTGTATGTGTTTTTATCTCAAAAGAAATTGTTGTGCATGTATTCCACTGACTTAATGCCTGTCTTTTTCAGTTTAATCTTCAAATAGAACAAGGTATTCCAGTTCTTTCTAAGTGGATAATCTTCAATCGATTTAAATTTGTTGCTTCTAAAGGAATCAAACTGGGACCAGCATTGCTCTTGACAAGGTTGGTACTTTCTGGCAATTTAAGTGGATATATCTTTCTATTTGTCACAGTTAAGAGACATCAAAGGATAAATACTAAGTGCTATTAGACAAACAACCTCACCGAGCTGGGAATTAAGTTAAAACACAGTAGTGCTTGGATTCAGATACATGACATATTGACATAAACTCTACTACTTCATGAATCCTAATTTCAACCTGAAATCTAATCCCACTTTTTCCATTTCCTATTTGTTTTATTTGACAAACAGTTAACTATGTGGTTATATCTTTTTTTAATTATCATCCTTACCCTTTCGGACAGACTTACTGGTGGTTCAATTGTCGGGGACATGGCTCCTTACCAAGCATTTGCCATCGGAGGGCTTGGGAGCGTGCGAGGGTATGGTGAAGGAGCAGTTGGATCTGGGCGATCATGTCTGGTGGCTAATAGCGAACTGACAATCCCTTTGGTACGTAATAGACTCATAAACAGCAATCCTACAATGTGAAATTGGACAGATTGTAACTTTCTTTCCCTAAAATATTCTTATACTGCTAAACTGCTGTTTCTTTTATATAGAAATTACTTTCTTGAAAGTTCTACTTTGTCTAGTGCTACTAATGTCTAGTAAGATGCTAGTAGGCTTGAATGGCATGATCCCATGTTCTCCATCTTTGGCAAGAACTGCTTTTACAACTGTAGGTGTTGAAATAGCTGAGGACCCCGGTTTTAATGAATATTTAGTGTATGTGGGAATATATATCCCCATTTGGGAAGAGGTTGATAGGATATCGTTTGCCTGGCTGTGTTTGATTTATGTTACATGCAGCATATTCGCCATCTTCTCTGGCCTCTTGTTTGTGCTTTGATCATGGCATTATTGACTTTAAAGTTTAAAGTTCTACTGTTAAGGGTCATATCTTCCTTGAAATATTAAAAATTAAGTTTTTCATTTCTATTGCAATTTTCACATTTCTCCCTATGACTTATTTGAAAGAGTTCAATTGTTTTTCTTATGAACTTTTTGAATTTAAATTCTATACAATGTATCAGAGTCAGCCTATCCTGCCCTCCCACTATGCTTACACATGTTACAATTAGTAATGCCTTGTATATGATTGTAATATTTAATATTCCTCAGATCTGGTGTTGCTGAAAATACTTTCCCTTTAAACAAACATAGAGCTTATGCATGGACTATAACTACATCTCTTCAAAATTATTTTTGATTTTCCTTTTTCCATTATACACACTCAAGCAGACAAACGGAATTAAACACAAGCACAATGTCATTCATATTTTTAATTTCCTACATTTATTGTTAAATTGAAATGCCCTGTACCAAACTGCTTGATGTCTTCTACTCTTCTTTACTATAGAATAAGATGTTGGAAGGTGCCATTTTCTTGGATTGCGGAACAGACTTGCGGTCTGGTCATCTTGTACCTGGTGAGTAATATCATTCCTGCTCAGGATACTCAAATTACTTGCAAATTTACTTCCAAATTATTTTTAAATGTTTTCTTTCTTGATTATCTTGTTAATATTTTATCAATATGTTTTAGCATATTAAATGTTTTATTTTTTGGGTCTACTGAGTATACTTAACGACCTAAACCTAGGGCACCTTTACTTAAAATCCAAATGTTTTATTTGCCCGGTTAGGCAAGTTCTTGAGATAGGGTTCTTTCTTCAGATTTTTCTTCTTGCTTGTGAAATGGAAAGTGAACACCAAAGATGAAATCACAGTGAATTTCTCTACGTAACCTATTATTTTTTGGTCATATAATACCTAAAAAAGTCTATCTATTGCGGTCAAAAACATTAACTGGTGGGCAAATCCTCTACAATTACAGTACAGTGATATTTGAAGAACCAAGTAAAAAGAAGTTGATTGGGATGGACAGTTTCTTGTAATAGGGAATACCATGTTAACAAAAACACTGCAAGCATAAATTAAGTCATCCAAATTTTGACCAGTAAACATGATGTCATGAACAACTTCTACTTCTGCGTTAGTTTAAATTATACTTTTCTGTGGTAGGAGACATTCATTCCAGGCCTTTCCCATATTCTTGTACTGTTTGGGTTTTCTGTGTCTAGTTCTGATTTGTGCTCCATTCCATTTTCGGAGAGCATATTTAGTGCTCCTGGAGCACACAATATTCAGTGGGACGGAGGAGTGAGAAAGAGATAAAAAGCTGATGAGAGAGGAGAGAAAAAAGATTAAAAAAAATTTAAGTCAAATGTCAAAATTTCAATTGAAGGACCACGGAAGTCCAGGTGCACCATAAACTTTTTCCCATTTTCATGTTTGTTGGTAGGAGGAAGTTACTTGGAAGTAGGAACCAGTGTGTAGTAAAATAAGGGCTACAAGCCTACAATTATAAGAGCTAGACAATAATCTCGAGTAACAAATGTTCCTCATTATTTAGTGTTCCGTCGTAGAGTTTGATGATGAGTTTGGGAATTTGGGTACCTCGTACCCAAGCTTTGAAACAAACTCTAATGTCTTGTGGGATGGTCTTGTAAAAGTGTTGAGATATATAGTCCCACATTAATTGTGTAGGTAACTAATGTGGCCTTTATAAGGCCTTGGACACTCTCACCCTTTGAGCTAGTTTTTGGGGTGGTGTATCCCAAGGCTCTTAACATGGTATCAGAGCGTTCGAAATCTCACCGCCTCCCAGCTAGCTTTTGGGGTGGTGTATCCTCAAGGTTCTTAACAAAAAGCATATCCTTAATTGCAACGAGTGATCCAACATCAGCCATTACATTTCAGTTGCAGTTCACCGTGTTTTGTCATAGCTTGTGGTTTGCTTTGTTCTGTTTTTATCTTGAATTAATATACTTGATCATTTTTGTGCTCAGTGCACATTATCTTGAGCCTTTTAGCTCAGACCCATGTCAAATGTGCTCTCATGGTGTTGAGCTCTTGGAAATGCAGGAAATCCAGCCTTAAGGCAGGGTAAACCAGGATCTGGTGTTGGATTGGGATATGGACTTCGATTTAAATCACAGTTTGGTCATTTTCAAGTTGATTATGCTATTAATGCATTTCAGCAGAAAACTCTCTATTTTGGCCTCAGCAACTTTTCATGAGATCCCTTGACCAATGAGGTTGCAGAACTCTAGTGCATTCCTTAGTCCATGGAAAAGATGGAATGGTGAAGCTACAAAAGCTGCAATATTTTGTCATCAATTCACAGCCCCATCAATTTTATGAACTGCATTCTCTCTATTTCTAACTCCGCAGTATATTTTGCATGTGGAGAGAGAAATAGTTACTATATTAGTATATTCTTTTCTTACAATTCATGGTAGTTGGAAATTTTCTTGGCATTTATTTTTGATTAATGAATGCTTATTGTAAATTGCTTTCAACCGAAAGGAGATAGAATTGTGTTCTTACACGTGAATGAAAGCACACAGAGATCTTGCTAGTTTAAGGTATAGCTTCACGCTTTTATTTTAATTGTGTTCTTACAAGATGATCTTCTGATTGCGCAATCTTGTTTTTTTGAACAAGATTAAATTTTCCACTGCATGAAACACATCCATCTATCTTTCAATACAAGTTCTGCAAAATAAATCCAAGCTGATTAAATGAAAAAATATCAAAGCTATTCAATCTCTGCAAATATGCTGCAAAACACATCCTTCTGAAACTCTAGCACCTAATTAAATGAAAAATCCAAGCTATTCAATCAGATTATTAACAAACCAAAATATCAAAGTTATCAGGTTCTTGACTTAAAAAAGTTCTTACAAGAATAAAACTCCCTATGTATGTGCTAGTGCTGTCTGCAACAAATGCACGTGGAGATCTTGCAGCATATTTCTGACCCGTGAAGGCCACCATATGAAAGAAAATTATGATTTAGTTACTATGACTCTTAAGTTATTAGACTTACAACTGTAAGTCATCATTCCCTTATATATAAATAAGGCAATCTACTAAACCTAAGAAGATTTTTTTAGAGAAGTCTGAAACCTAACTTATTTAATTAAACAGATATTTTTTAAAAAGAAAAAGAAAAAATTGGTCTATCTTTTTTGCTAACGGACTAACATAATCCCACTCCTAAATTTTTTTACACTGATACTAAGTTTTTTTTTTTTTTTTATGCGAGTCGAACTCAGATACTTCCAGAAGCTTTGAGTCGGCTATATAATTAATACTGAGTCGGTGCTTAGTTTAAAATTCTTCATCTCTCCCCAATAATGTATTTAGTAGGAATTGAATCAAAGTTCTCTCTTCGTCTATTCAGCTTATATTGTCAACTAAGTTATACACATTAGATTTGCGCTCCTAATTTTAAATTATGCATAATCATAAATATATAAAATAAAATAAAAACCTAAACACTAATCACGTTGTAATGGCGGGTAAGCAGTCGCGTGAGCGCGGTAGGAATTTACTAAACCTGGTCACCAAACCTGTCTTATGGATTATCCAAGATAGAAGACCAAGCATCAATTATTAGTTTGTTGCGTTTTTTTTTTTTTTTTTTGCAGTAAAAGAATTTCTATCACATTCAGACACTTATAGAAAAGTGAACGAGTCCTGTTATAAAAACAATTAATGAAATTCACTCACTTTTACATAAATATACTGACAGAAACAAAAAAATTATAATAAAAATAGAAACATTAAACCCATCAATTAAAAATAGAAACATTAAACCCTTCAATTTTTTCATAAAAAGAAGAAAGTTGTATTTTATTTTGTTTTTTGTTTTGTTTTTTTGGCGGACTTGTAAATTAATTGAAAGATCATTTTTTTCACAATATATATTTATTAGACGAACTAAAGAATCAACGAAATAGAATGCCATGCTTTTGATTTGAATTAAATTTTAACGACCCGTGATGGTATCTTAGACCACACAATAATAATTAGATTTTATGCGGCAAAAAAAATTAAAATAATATTATTTTAATAAATAATTACGGATAGATGACAGTTTGGATATTATTTTTGAATCTATAATGCCCAAAAATGGGAAATGGAGTTATTATTAGTCACATAAAGAATGGAAACGTATGATTGTTAGCATAAAACAATATGATAGTTAAGTGTTGTATTCTCTCTTCCCTGGCTTGTTATAGTAAAAAAAAGTGAACAAAAGAACGGGACCTTGTTACGTTGTACATGGTGAGAAAGAATTTAATGCTCTGGGATCACTTTTGAATTGGTGGGACTGAAGAGAAAGAAAGAGAGAAGAGATTGAGGAGAAAGAAAATAAAAATTTAATCCAAGTGTCATGCTCTCAGTGGAAGGATCGCCAAAATTCTGGACCATATTAAATCAATTATTTACAATTGGCTTATGAATTATGTGATGTTTACATATCTGCAAATTTACAACCCAAAAGTCAACTTTTTATTGAAATTTGGCCTCATAGTTAACGTAATGGTTCTCGCAGGGACCAATGAACTATATCATGCCCAATGTGATGTACAGCAATAGTAATTATTTAGGAAAAAATGTTTTTGCACAGTTACTAGAGATAAATTATCTGTATTTATTCCCAAAACGATGTCGTTTTGGAATTGAAATCTTAAAAAATTATAAATATAAAGACCATTATAACCCTGAAATAAATTAAAATTACATAAACACTATAATTTCCGCCCCAAAACAACGTCATATTGTGCTTACTGCAGATAACTTATCTGCAGTAAGTGCAGAAAAAACAAACCCAATTATTTATCATCTGAGTTCAAGAATAATTTCTGCTCTCTGATATAATCAATTACTTCATCTGAAGTAAGGTATTTTATTGATAATCCTCTTGCAATACAATCCCTGAAATTAGTAAAACAATACAAGAAAATTGTCAATGTCTCCCTTCGGTGAAATCATCGTGCTTTAACTCTTATGAAAGTAAACAAGGTCATAGTATTACCTTACTCTCGTTGAGCTGATTTGATTTGGTACAAGTTCATCCACAACTTTGATATTTGCCTGAAAAAATTGTAAAGGAATTGATCAATTTTAAGCCGTCACAGCAACAAAAAACACATCCAGAATACACAGCCGCGTTTCATTTTAAACACATACAGTAAAATGGGACAAGTTTGGTACGTGATATACCTGATTCTCATTCAAAATTTCATCACTACATATAGTCTTCTCCACATCTTGTCCTTCTCTGCGAATGCACACTACTCCATAATCTCTGCATAGAGTCTTAACCTAAAGTACAATAACCAAGTTATAGTCCATTGTAGTTATACTCCAACCATGCCTTGTATGTAGGAAGAAGCAAAACTTATTTAACTTAATAAGCATGTCAATTCTAACAATAAAAACACCACAAAATCAATTTAATTCCTCTGACTTCAAATTCCACTGCCATTTAAGGATGTTTACCTAAAATATTATGTGGCTCAATCAAACTGACAGGATCTTGTTCCAAGAGTCCTCAAATAAAACAATGTGAAGCTATTCTATTATAAACAATATCAGATTTTTCTATTATACTGAATGCATAAGCACCTGGTCAGGAATCCAGACTCCAGGAACGCCAAAAGAATGGAGGAGATCAGAACCGCAGACAAGCATGACCTTGAGGGATTCTACACTAATCAATACAAAAGCAAGTTATTGTCTTGCTTTTACATCATCATAAATAATAAACGTGTAGATCACTTTTGAAGGCTTTAGTACCATACAGCCCGATTGATTCTATCAACCAGGGTTTTAAAATGCGGACTGCATCACATGCTATGTTGCGTCTAGCAGTGAATGCAGACCGCATCGTTTGCAGTTGGTCACATCAGCTCTCAACAACCACAATGCAAAACAACTGCAATTTAAAACCCTGGTATCCACATAGCACTAACAAATGCTAAAAATACTAGTATCAATGGACCACCTAAACCAGAGCGAAGAAAACGTGCCTAACATTATCCATACATTAATCATTTAAATAACGTGTTCCTATATGAACACCTAATCCTAAGCCCTATATTTTTTTGAAAGTTCATAAGCAGTAGGGATTAGCATTCATGTGACTAGTGTTTCAATCTTAAAAGAGATTAAGAGAGCTGGTGTTGCTTCTTCTTTACCTTGTTCTAAATTTTAAGATGGGGCAAGGGAGCAATATGAGATAATTGTAAAGAATCATTTAAATTCAAAAGCTGTTAGGTGAAGATCACATTAATGGTTTTATATTTCTTTAACACTCATCTCACCAAGAGTCCTTTGGCTTTAAGGGTGGACAATATACATGCCCTCATATACTCATACTAAGAAACTCTATAATATTCTAATTATTTATTAATAGAATAGAGGTGGAGAGGATTGAACATGTGACCATTAGGTTACAAAGGTTCTGATACTATGTAAAGAATAATTTCAACTCAAAAGTTTAAGTTGTTAGACTAATGTGATTTCATTGAAGACTTGTTTATCGAGCATACCTCTAGATACCAACCCTGTCTCACAAATAGAACGGTGGACTCTGGAGAGAACAGTTAAAGTGCGTTGGTATGTGCTTTGATTTGCCTGTAGGAATTTGTAGCCAGATAAAAATGCAAAATATGAAGAAATCAGACCGGCCAAACTGATAAGTTTCTCGCAATGCACATGATATCAAAGAACTGTCTCTGAAAGTCAAATCTTTGGAAAATGAATATTTTCTACTTGCGTAGAGAAGAGAGAGATGTGTATTCTAGCAGAAAGTAAGAATAATTTACCTCCCACGGATCAACCATTACAAATTCTGAACTTTTGCAGGCTTGATGACATAGTCGTATTCGATGTTCAGCAGATATTAGGCCCTATATTAATGTACAAGTAAGAGACAATTAGACCAATGCACGGCTGTGAAACTCTTAGTATCACTTCATATGGCCAAAAAAAAACTTTAATTGCATGAATAGCATCTTAGGATTTGATCTCCATGTCTTAATACCAAGGAGAAAAATAATTTAAAAAATTAAAGGAGTATTTTAAACGTCAAATAGAGTGCTCCCTGAATGTCATTTTCCCACATGCCAAGCATAATTTTTTTTCCTTATTCAATCATTTATTTTGCTTACAAGTTTTACAGATGCACACATATGGATATAATAAACGATCTTTTTCTCCGTTTGCTTGATAGCAACCTACCTTTTTCTTGTATGCATCATTAACAGGTGACATGTAACCTCCAATTACGCAGTAGCCTTTGGAATTCAACACATCTCTTGCAAGCTCTAAGATTAAAAAAATAATAATTAAATAAGACAAATAGAAAATAATTGAAAATGAACATAAAAGTACACAGTTCAAGAAATCATGTCAATGAAATTCCATAAAGTGGTAGTTGCAGTAAAGTAGAGGGAATAGTCTGAATATATATATATCACTCCCCTTTACATTCATTCAGAAAGTAGAAACTTGGAGATAATAATTTAAGGAAGTTAACAGTACTGGAAGACACCACAGATATGAATTGGTTCCTATGCAAAACCAACTCTTTCGAACATCTTTGTAAAGTTTAAAATTTCAATAGCAATTCTGGTATACGCTGAAACTATATTGAGTATATGCCTTCAAAGGTTAACAAATTTTTGAGCAAGAAATGCCAAATTAACAGTTACTGGACTTTTATATTTTGGGATAAGAATCACATTATAAGGAGTTCTACATACTTCTACCCTAAAAACCACTGTAATTAGTAAAATGTTTATCATGTCAAGCACCATTGGCTATTATACTATCCAGCAACCACTGCACTCTTACTTTATTCACATGATGTATCTGAGGTCATAATTATTTTTCCCTTAATTTTCTACACTCAACGGCAGAAAAATAAAAGAATCAAAATTTTCAAAAATCAATACGTTTAAGAATGAACTCGCATTCAAGATGTCATTTGTTTTTTGTTTGAGAGGGGGGAGGGGTGGAGGAGTTAAAATTATTCAGACTTGACTTTTAGGAGCGCCAAAGCAGTAATAGATGTCTAAAGCTAATGGAATAACAATTTGCACAATGTAAACCTAAGGAAACGAAAACACAAGAAACAATCTGAGCTCCAAACTCAACTCAACTCACCAAACATGCGTAAATGCATGAAAGTAGGTGGATTAAAGCTTCCAGTTGCCACCAGAATTACATATATCTTGTCGCTGTTTTTTTGGAGACAGTGTGTGTCATAATTCATAATAATGTCAATAGAAAACTCTCCCACAAAATAACCCAAAATGAATAAATAATAAAGGAACATACTTGCTAGAGTTTCCAGGGGATGGTTCATTACTAATCAGTTCTAAAGCTAATTTATCCAATGGCAATGGAGCATCCATGACCTGAAACCATTAGAAAAAAGCATTAATAATGTGTTTTTTCTCAGTTAAACGTGGATAGATGGAGTTTTAAGCTCAAATTACTAATATCAATGTCAACCATGATTTCCTTTCTTAATCAAACAACCAAGTTTGATATTGCAAAATCGATCCATGAAAAGAAAGGATATTATGTGAAATAATATTTGCAAATTGATCCAAGAAATTCATTATCAAAGAGAGAGATATCTCAGGGAACAAAACACCAGAAATAACACGAACTTCAATTAAACACACAAACGCAGAAACCGAAATTTAAAATTTTGAATAGAACCCATTAATCGCTACGCCTCATGATTAAAAACAAAAAAAAAAGAGAAAAAGTTAAGCAACTAATAAGCTCATTCACAAAGAAAGCTTGAAAAAGCAGAAAGAAACAAGCTACCAATCAGCTCATTCACAAACAAGTAATAATGAAAATTACGAAATGAAGTAAATTATGAATTTTAACAGTTATTATTTGGTAGAAGGAAAGGAGCAAGCCAAACAAATGGAAAAGAAGGATGAGATAATCTCACCGTAGATGGATCTAATTGAAGAAAAATGTTGAAACTTTGATATGAAATGTGAGAATATAAAGTTCAATGCAGACGGCAAAAACAAGCGTTGGAATTCCTCGCCCCAATCCCCACGCTTTTAAGTTGAATGTTCAATGTGGCCCATCCCCGAGCCCACTCTTTAAATTGCTATGTTATGTATTTGGGTCTGATGCTGGGCTTCTTGTGTTTTGTCCAAATGCCATGCTAGCCCAATTGGGGACTCTACATGTCACTGAACCACGAGCTCTGGATAAAGAATGTTCTGACTTAAGATGTTAATGGATCCGAACTAGAAATCAACGAGCTCTAGATCTCAACGAAGTGCAGATGAGGAAGCGCTACGCCAGGGTAATTCTCTTTATCATGTATATATTGGGGAACTTGTTTAATGGACGGCTAGGATCGAATGTTAAAATTTATTACGTCACGCAGAAGGGTATAGAATTATTTCTGAACCAAGCTTTTGAGAGAAAGCGTGGACCGTTGGATCTGAACGTTTGATCTGCGATTTTCTTCCAGATCCTTCCGAGCAAGCTTCAGCAACGCTTTCATTCTGTTCTCTTTCACTTGTGAAAGTAAGGAAAATAATATCTCATATTACATGAGATAATTATTTTTGTAACAAAAATAAATAATAAGATTCACTATTTTATTTTATTTTTTTAAAAAAAATAGTGCATTTCTTATCTTATTTTTATTATATGAGATAATTATCATGTAACATAAGATAAACAGATGGCTTAAATTAAATATTCTGTCCCACTTCTTACGGTGCCAGCTTTGACTTCTTCTGTATTTGACCGCTCCTACCAAACGTATGGTAACTTTCAATTTATTCGGTTTTTCAGTTTTTTTACTACAGACTTATTATCATTCTAATTATTGTTAGATTTCATTTTATAGACAATAATTTCTGAAAAATTTCTAAAAAAAGAAAAAAGAAAAATAATTTTTAATATATTTTTCAAATATATAATTATATTAAAATGATAATGAGTTGATAGTAAAAAGAATTGATAATAAAAATATCATTACTCATACTTCTTTACCACTTCAGTAAAAAAATAGCGACTTATAAGTCTAGTGGTATGATACATATCTTTATTGGTCAATTATAAGTCCCTTTTTTTTTACATTTTATGCTTATTTCCTAATTTTAGAGTATTTATTCTATTTGGTGTAAATATATGGATTAAGGATTTTGGCTTTTTTATGTATCATATCATGATAATATACCATATTATTATATTTATTACGGATTAATATTGCATTATTAATGAAGTTCTCACATCCATGAGCATTTTTATCGGATGTAAATTTAATCCTTATCCAATTATACCCCCCCTTGTTAGCAACGAAAGACAATTTTTATGTCGCACAATCTTAGTTTTAACTAGTATATTATCTTTGCGATGCACGAAAAAAAAAAATCAAAATTTTTGTCGTCTATCGTGCACTGCAAAACTTATAGTTACAAAAAACTGTGTTGCTATCTTGTTCTATATTTCAGGTGGAAAAAACTACAACATTGACACAGAACTTTGCAAATATCAACTATAAACAAAAATCTACTATCCAGAGTGATCAATATTATGCAAATCAAATATAGTTATATACTCGATGAGTTATGTAAAAATAAATACGCCATAGTAGACTATGTAAAATGAGGATGACTAAAAAAAGAAAAATGCATACAACTTATTGCTAACTATAACAGCAACTAATAAAATCAAGGTAACAAACAGACCAAGCAAATATGGAATTAAAAGATCAGTTTGTACCAATAATAAGAAAATGCTATTAATTCAGTATAATTCTGTAGCAATCATTGCAGGGATCAGTTCAACACATACCAAAGATGTGATTTCCTATGTTTGTGCATTACCAGAGACATCATCTTCTACCATCATATTTATGCCTACGATACAAAATGCAAATGTTCCTTCAAAATTAAGTATTACTCGCGCGGTGCACGTGGAAAAAGAAATTGGTTTGTCTTTCTCGTAAAAGTTAATGCAAATCGTAAAAATATATCTCTGCATTTTATTTAAATCAATACTGTTAGGTACTGTAACACCCCGTGTGCACTTGGTGTATTAAACATACATATGGCAATAGCGCAGCTAAATAAATGCGGAAGCTAACTTTTTCTTTTCAATTATGACGTTATCATTATTAACCAAATTGATTACTTATTCCTTTTCAAAATATAGACGGTATGTGTTCGAATCTCTCCAGTACCACCTTTGGGAGGTGTTTAAAGTAGGGTTGGCAAAACGGACCAACCCAGCTCGACCCGGCCCAATCCGCATTCAACCCGTAAAAAACGGATCGAGTTAGGGTTGGCCCGAAAAATTAAACGAGTCAGCAAACCCAACCCAGCCCGACCTGAGCCGGGTTAGGGTTGACTCGCGGGTTGACTCGATAATCAGCTCGCGGGTTGGCTCAGAAAAAAGCTCGCGGGTTGCGTTTGTCACTTTCCTGTATGACCCTGCAATGTTCTACAGCAAACCAGATCTGTGGGTCCAAAGGTCACAGCGTACCCAGCAACTGAAAAATTCCCATAAAAAAAATGAGTTCAGATAAATATAAAGCGAACTATTACCACAAAGTTACAAGTTCTACATCGAAATCGAATATATTCCAAGAGAAATGAAAACTTTTACCATCTGTATCAAGCAAAGAAAGACGTTTCTACTTTTGCTATCCAAGGACAACGATGTGAGCGAGCTTTGGAGTTTTCATATATATATATATATATATATATATATATATATATATATATATATATATGTATATATATTTAATACAGCCATTTTTTTTTAATAATAAAAAAAAATACCCAACCCGCGAGCTGGTCCGTTTGACCCGCGGGCTGACTCGTTTGGGTCTGGGTTGTATCGGGTCGGGTTGAGTCGAGTTGGCAGCTTATTTAGGCCAATCCAACCCAACTCATTTAGGACGGGTTGGCTCGTTTTTGCCACCCGTAGTTTAAAGCCTTAATCCTGGACCTGTCCCGAATCGGATTAATTGCAAAGTGATGAACTGATTGGAATATTTTTAAAAATATAATTTGTATGTAAATTACAATTAAAGCTAACTGAATATCCTCGTAAAATAAATGTGTATATAGTCTTATGGTATCTTCTACCATCATAATATCCTCATAAAATGCGGAAGCTAACTTGATCATTTTTGTGCTCAGTGCACATTATCTTGAGCCTTTTAGCTCAGACCCATGTCAAATGTGCTCTCATGGTGTTGATCTCTTGGAAATGCAGGAAATCCAGCCTTAAGGCAGGGTAAACCAGGATCTGGTGTTGGATTGGGATATGGACTTCGATTTAAATCACAGTTTGGTCATAAGTTGATTATGCTATTAATGCATTTCAGCAGAAAACTCTCTATTTTGGCCTCAGCAACTTTTCATGAGATCCCTTGACCCATGAGGTTGCAGAACTCTAGTGCATTCCTTAGTCCATGGAAAAGATGGCACGGTGAAGCTACAGAAGCTGCAATATTTTGTCATCAATTCACAGCCCCATCAATTTTATGAACTGCATTTTCTCTATTTCTAACTCCGCAGTATATTTTGCATGTGGAGAGAAATAGTTACTATATTCTTTTCTTCCAATTCATGGTAGTTGGAAATTTTCTTGGCATTTATTTTTAGTTAATGAGTGCAGACAGAACGATAATTTATTGTAAATTGCTTTCAACTGAGAGGAGATAGGATTGTGTTATTACACGTGAATGAAAGCACACAGAGATCTTGCTAGTTTAAATGAAAGCACACAGAGATCTTGCTAGTTTAAGGTATAGCTTCACGCTTTTATTTTAATTTTTTTAGGGCACTATTTCTCCACGCATTGTCAACTATTTCCCCTTTAGGCCATCATTCTAGAGATAATCTATGATTGGTGGTGAACTTTGTAATAAAGCTAGGAAAAGGGACTGTGGTCCAGTGAATGAAATGCTGCCGGAGGATTGTCCACTTCATACCATGAATTAAGCACTGAAAGATGTTTGTTTGTACCAAAAAAGGGTAGATGTATCACAAGACTACAATATGATCTTCTGATTGCGCAATCTTGTTTTTTAAGTCAAACAAGATTAAATTTTTCACTGCATGAAACACATCCATCTATCTTCCAATACAAGTTATGCAAAATAAATCCAAGCTAATTAAATGAAAAAAAATATCAAAGCTATTCAATCTCTGCAAATATGCTGCAAAACACATCCTTCTGAAACTCTAGCACCTAATTAAATGAAAAATCCAAGCTATTTAATCAGATTATTAACAAACCAAAATATCAAAGTTATCAGGTTCTTGACTTAAAAAAGTTCTTACAAGAATAAAACTCCCTATGTACGTGCTAGTGCTGTCTGAAACAAATGCACGTGGAGATCTTGCAGCATTCTTCTGACCCGTGAAGGCCACCATATGAAAGAAGATTATGATTTAGTTACTATTGACTAGTTATTAGACTTACAACTGTAAGTCATCATTCCCTTATATATAAATAAGGCAATCTACTAAACCTAAGAAGATTTTTTTAGAAAAGTCTGAAACCTAACTTATTTAATTAAACAGATTTTTTTTAAAAAGAAAAAGAAAAAATTGGTCTATCTTTTTTGCTAACGGACTAACATAATCGCACTCCTAAGACATGAATCATTTAGTGTTGACACGTGACAAAAAAAAATCAACTTACGAACCGTAAAACTTTGAAATGCCATAACTTTTGACTCAGATATCCGAATGAGATAATTCTTTTTTTTATTCCACATAACTTCTCGATATTTACGCAATGACATCTCATTTGATATATTTTATCTCTCCCAAACACAATTCAAATTTACAATAATTGTATTATATAGTGTATTATCAAAAAAAATTAAAAAATTATTGTTAATAAGAAAAACAAAATAAAGATTTAATTTATGAATTAAACTCAAAAATCAATTTGAAAAATCTGTATTAATAAAGAAAATAATTAAATAATTATTCTAAACACTTGGTAGAATATTATATAAATTTGTATATATTTTAATAATTAAATAAAAAACCCTGTGCACTATTTTTTTTCAAACACTTGGTAGAAGTATATATTTAATATGACATTAAGTATCCTTATTTATAGATGAGTTAATCCACTTTGGTGCCATCTTTATAGTACCATTGTTGTAAATTTGAATTGTGTTTGTGAGAGATAAAAGATATCAAATAAGATGTCATTGCGTAGATCTCGAATAATTATGTGGAATCAAAAAAAGAATTACCTTATTCAGATACCCGAGTCAAAAATTATGGCCTTATAAAATTTTAGGATTAAATTATTAATTTTTTGTGCCACATGTCAACATCAGACGAGTCACGCCTAATTTAGGCGTGAATGCCTTGAGAGTCACGCCTAACTTAGGCGTGAATAGTGACGTCTAATTTGGACGTGAACGAGTGTAATAGATTCGTATACAGGTTCGAAACATCAATTTATTCGTAATTATTTATTAAAATAGTAATATTTTAATTATTATTTTTCCCGATTTTATGCTTCGAAAACTACCGACACATGTTTTAAATTGAAAATCCACGTCGCATTGGAACGCGTACCAGAAGCCAAAAGCATTAAGGAAAGGTTTCTTCAATAAGTAGTGGTTAGCTTTGAAGTCTCTTGGACTGGTTAACATAATCATGTGACATTGAGAATTGTAATTATATAAAAGTAAATCAATAATAATAAAGAAAGAGAAAAAAATATTAGAATAGATAATTATAAAATTATTATCATTGATTCATTCTTAAATAGATAAAATCGTTTCACATAAAATGATTATGTTAATTAATATATAAGAGACATATTCGATTAGAAGATAGTGCAGAAAATGATTAACGATTAAACGCGTAATTATCTCAATTTGTTGTTATCTTCTGTTTCGGGGAAGGTGAAGGCCCCGTTTGCCTCTATGGTGGCATGCATTTCTTGCAGCCAGATCAAGTGTATTATTTCCCCTTTTTTCTCTCATGAATATAATTTATTTATTTTTTTAAGAAAAGCATTCTATAGAGCCTGTGTGGGAACAGTGGCACTTTGCAAAGAAAAAAACACTAAAATCTCACGTCAACAGTAAATTTTGTCAAAATGTCACGTAGTATATTTTTCTACACTGTGTAGCGAAATACGTGTGCAAATATTTCGCTACATGGTGTAGCGAAATATGCCACGTCAGAACAAAAAATGTCACGCGTCAAACAGGGAGAATTTCGCTACACTGTCTGACACGTGGCATTTTTGGTTCTGTGCATTCTGACGCGGCATATTTCGCTACACTGTGTAGCGAATTATTTGCACACATATTTCGTTACACAATGTAGCAAAATATGCCACGTAACATTTTGACAAAATTAACTGTTAGCGTGATATTTTGATATATTTTTTTTTGCCAACAGTAGCACTTTGGCCACTGTCCCGCTGTGTGCTGGTTCATTATATTTTACATAGGTGGCGGCGCTTAGTTCATTCACAGCAACTACCCAACTTCAACTACAAGAATTTTTTCAGATGCAAACAAACTTGAATAATTGTTCAATTTTCAACTGGGACTTGGGATGAATTTCAAAATTTGGTGGTAAGTTGACAACTAACCTAACCTTCTCCTTTATGCTATTCTTATCTCCATGCCGATCAGAACAAGAGCGTCAGATGATTAAAGTAATCCATTATAATATCAAGTTGTTCTTAAAATTAGTGTTTATTTTGAGTATTTTTTTTTTTTTTTGTAAAAGTTATAAGAAAAGAAAGATGTAATGTAAGTCATATATTTTTTAATAATTGAATGGAAGAAAAATTCAATTTTAGCTCACAATTAATAAAGAGTCGGGTGAAATTATTTAGTGAGAGTAGAAATTTCATCTCATAATTAAAAGAGCATTAAAAATAGAATTTCGATATTGCTCGATAAAAATTAACGGAAATATAATAATCATGTTGTACGGTTCATATTTCTGTAACTATTTTTTAATTATATATTTCTGAAAATATATAATTAAAAAAATAATTTTAATATTATAATTATTTATTTCACAAAAATACATAATTAAAAATAATTACAGAATGTCTTGTAACAGAATATCCAATCCATCTTAAAATTAAATATGTAACAAGTCAGATTATTAAACACCGTCATCCAAAACAACAAATATAAGAATGTGTTCATCACACTTTTCTATGTTTTTGTCCAGTTTCAGAATGAGATTAGAAATCAAAAAGAAAGAAATCCCGAGGGAATATGGGTTACAAACTTACAAATTACGAAATTTACTGAAATCAAATGTAGAGTTGTTGTTTTGTGCTTGTGTTACTCAACTCATAAGACAAATATTAAGGAAATATAATATAAAAATTATTAATTGAATAAATTCTTCGATAAAAACAGCTCTCCAGAAATGATTATTGGCATCTGTTTGAAGAATTCTTTTGCCAGTATTGAAAATTTTCAAGGCTAGTGGATTTTGAGCAATTTTTTTCAATTCTTTGACAGTTTGAGTTTGTTCTGGATTCAAAAAAGAGGATCTTTCTTTAAAAGTTTTGACAATACACTAAGTATTTTGTTGCATATTAGAGTTTTTAGTCAAGTAATTACCCGTTTGATTTGAATGACCTCACTCTATTAATAAATAATTAATATTTAAAATTTAATAACATAAGTATATGGATATGGGCATTGTTTATTCTTACAGTCTAACGAATTTTTATATTAAAAAATAATTAAAGAACATTGATTTATTTTTTTACAGATAAACATACTTGAGCTTTTTGCATTCAATGAATTTTTTAGAAGAGATGATGGAAGCCAACTGTGTTGGAATGGGCGAGTGGGCCCGTCTCATGGCAAAGCAAACAAAGGGGTGTGACTTTATTTGTCCTTCGAATTCCTAAATCATGCCGCTGGGACCCCTTTTTTTTAATCGAGAAAGAGAAATAACACCCACCACCGACAACTTCATATATTTGTCGCAACTCACGGTGGCTGTAGCTTATCCTCGAGATCTTCTTCTGTATATCTATAGTATATATATCTGTTATTTAATAACTGACACTTAAATAAAAAAAATATATTTTTTTTCTTTCCATAAAAACATGACAGTCATTTTTCTTTTTTATTGGATAAATATACTGAATAAATGGTACAACAATAATATCATAAATATTTTACTCATGCTCATGTTAATCTTTAAAAGGAAAATTGTGTATTGTTAGAGTATTACATTCAGCTAACTAAAATATTAGTGTAGACTCATCCGCGTTTCACTGAAACCTGATTATTTATAATACGGGCGTAATGTTTCTTCTTTGCTTAAAAAAAAATTATTACTCACATTTGTATAAAAATGAATAGATCTTAATTTTTTTTTTCTCTTCTGTTTATAATAAAACTTACACATTTTTATGAGTATTTCTCTTTCTTTTATCTACAATGAAATCTATTCACTTTTATATAATATACAAAAATTTGTGCAGCACAAGGATAGTGCCAAAAAGGGAAATGAACACACTCACATAGTGGCTCCACCGCGCTAGCGTAGTCAAATCGTTATATTCATAAATAAATGGAATTAAATAATATACGGCGACCGAAAGGAAAAGAATTTGATACCATTACTACTCTACACACATTCTGCAAAATGCTTTATTTCTTTTCTTTCATATAATTCTCTAATACAAAGGAATTAAAGCCACTATTTGATACTTTTCAAGGAAGAAAGAGATCACCGACTAATGAAAAGAGGACAGTGATCAAAAATGTCACTGTTCATCAATTTTTTTATCTAAATGTCACGCGGATAATGTTATTTCTCAATCTGCCACGAGCAGTGACGGACGGAGAAAAATTTATTCATGTCCGCACATTTAATTTTTTTTTAAAATTTAAATACATTAAAAATTAAAGAATATAAAAAAACTTCAAACTTAGAGAAAGGATTGTTTACGGATTTTTTTTACAAATTTTTGCAAATTGCACTATGTTCTCTCGGGAGAAGATAGAGTGACCTAGTATTCTTTTGGAAGAAGATAATGTAAGTTGTAAAAGTTTGTAAATATAATATTCCCCTCAAACTTAATATAAAAAGATAATAATAAAAAATCAACTAATCTATTAAAATATAGAGAAGGCCACCACCACATACATAACCTTAGAATATCATTGAAATTCGTTTTGAAAATAAATGGCGAGACTTCTGGTTGACGCAGGGGGTGCTTCTTACTTACCTTGATTTGAAGCGAGGGACATCATGCACGAAACACACTCGCACACCATAGTCTCAAGGCCCCACCATCATCAATAACAACTACCCTCCCCCTCATACCTCATCATCATCATCATCATCATCATCATCAACCCAAATGTCTCTCTACTCTGTCTTCGTTTCCACCACTCCGTCTTGATTATTTTGTTTCCCTGGCCTTCTACTTTGCATCTAAGCCACCTCGAGCACCAGAATCAGCCACCACATAACCAATGGTTTATGTCCGCAAGTGCACCCCAATCACCTCGAGCACCAGAATCAGCCACCAGAATCAACCATCAAAAAAAAAAAAAATTTTAAAAAAAAGTTTATGTCCGCAAATGCAGACAATGGCGCTTGACTCAGTCTGCCACCGGCTACGAAAGCAAGTTCGTTACCTGATGTAGCGAACTCGATTTGCTGACGTGTCACGTTTCTAGTGGACACCAAGTTCGCTACACGAGGTAACGATCGCTACCCAATGTAGCGAACTTCAAACCTATTTTTTTTTTTTTTTAACTTGGTAGTTGTTATTCACTAAAAATGTGACACATCAGCAAATCGAGTTCGCTACACTAGGTAGCGAACTTGCCCCCCGTGACAGATTGAGAAATAACATTGTTCGCGTGGCATTAGGTAAAAAAGTTGGTGAAGAGTGACATTTTGATCACTGTTCCAATGAAAAGAACCAAAAAAAACAAAAGGAAAAGGAGTTGCAAAGGGATCAATAGCAGAAAAATGAGAGCAGAGCTTTTTTCTTTTTCTATCATTGCAGTCATTGTTGCCTCACGTTCAGGCAACAGCTCTTGTTTCGTCCAAAACCAGTAACATTGTAGACCTTTTTATCAATGTTTTTACACGATTCGTATATATACAAAAATCATACCACAAAAATACCTACATAATCTTCTCTGGCAATCACTAGAGCTCTTGCACCAATTGAATACACCTGACCAGAGCACCCCCGCCTTTCTTTCTTAACTCACGCAGGTGTCTAACTCTTTCTTTGCTTTCTGTTTTGATTCCTCATTACTGTAATCTCGAGTTCTCTCCATTAGAGAGTTCCAGGAATATAAGTTGTGGGCTATTTATGCCTCTTCAAACGATATACCCCCAATGAAGCTATAGCCATAGCAACACCAAGCAATATCATCTCACCATAAATCAATCTCTTCACTGACCTGTTCCACCTGTGAGAATAAAATTTGATTGAACAAAGTTATCTCAACTGCAGAATCTGATAAAGAAATTAATAAAATTCCACGCCATCACTTGCAAGTGCTGCAAGGTGTTTGTAATTTCTACATAAAAAGCAAACTAATAGAAACAATCCAGAAAATGATTTCCAACAAACAGATAGGATATGCCAATGCCATGCATAATACTTCAGATTAGGCACGCCCGAGTCTTCATCATCAACGCTAGTTTTCACCAAAAAGAAGAAGATAAAAGCACCTAGTAGACTAGCTCCATAATTTTGACATTCAGAATACAAGATGTCATAATTCATAAACCTTTTTTTCCTCATCTTAAAGCATAAACACCACAAATGCCAAAAGCAATTATATGTTCCATAAACAGTAAGAGAATCTCATTCCCAAGAGAGCACTACAGCACAGCACTTACATATACATACATTAATCAAAAAGCCATTTGAAGTCCCTCAAAATTTCAGTGCCCTTGATATCTTAAATTTTCTTTTCTTCCAACTAATGAGTTAGTAAATGAACAAACCCATATAAATATCATGGAATATTTTGAGAATGCAAACAAAACGAGAACATGAAGAAAAGCGCACACACACAAGCATCAACCCCAGATTCTATTCTAACACATAAAGCTGAAAATGGACACATCCATTTTACAACAACAAGTAGTGCAAATTAACATCAATAAAGTTCCAAACTTTTTCTGACTCACTGCTAACCAAAATCATAGAACTAAAAAAAAAAACAATAAAAAAAAAACATAGATAACAACGTACCACGTTAAAATTTCAATCCCTGAAAATGACCGATTTAGCTATGCGCATCAAGGGTTCCAAGCAATCTGGAGTGAATTTCCTCGCAAACAAATAAGATTCGGAATGATTGGACTGGCGCAGCCGGCTAATGAGCTCCGGCGAGACCTCGGCAGGACGATAAGTATAAGGGTGGCCGTTGACGGTGCCGGTCCAATTGACCCGCGTAAGCGTGTACTTGGTGCAACCGTCGGGATCCGCCATTGACAACAGCGTCGGAAAATAATGTTCCTCCGGGTAACACTCATCTTCGCGGTAACAAGGTATCTTAAATTTCCTCCACAAGCTTCGATCCTTGATGACCACCAACGCGTGACGTCGAGCGAGGGTGAAAAACTGAGATCCGACCCGAAACTTCTCGAACGGAACTTCCGGCGTCATCGCGTAACGACCCCTCGCGACGTAACGCTTCCATAGCTTAGGCGCATTGGAGAGAATCTCAACGAAGCTCTTGTATTTGAGACGAACACCGAACTGAGTCGACTCGGGATCGGTCAAATCGAAGGTAGGTGAAACGAAGAGGGAATGGTAGATGTAATTGAAGGAATGGAGAGGGATGCAGTACTGGGAGAGGACGGCGAAGTAGGCATTGGCGGGGTCGTCGAGGAGTGCGGTGGCGAGGAGACGGCGCGTGGCGGAGATTAAGGTCGGTGACGCGCGGTAGGTCCGTTTAGCGGCGATGAACTTGCCGCGGAAGACAGGGGAGTCAGGGCGCGTGACATTCACGGAGGGGTCAGCGTGTATGTAAATGTTGTAAAGGTTGGTTGGGTTGTTTTGGAAGAAGCGATCCCAGAGAGGCGCGAAGTGGAGATCGGAGTTAGTTAAGAAGAGGAATGCGATTTTGAGGTTTGGGTTTTTGGATGAAAGGTGAAAGAATTTCGAAGGGTTAGATTTGGATTTGGGATTTGAATGGGATTGGGTGATGGCGCGGTTGAAGAGGTTGACGTCATCGAGTTCATCGGAGGGTGAAATGTGAACGGAGTGTGGCCGTGGAGGGAGGATTCGCGGTGCGAGGAAGAAGAGGATTGGGAGAGAGAGGAGGAGAGAGAAAGTGAGAACGAATGGGGTTGAGAACATTGAGTTAGGTGCAATCCTCAATTGAGAGAGAATGAACCAATTTGGGATTAAAACTCGTTGGGAATGAGAATGGTCTGGAATTGTGATATTCTTAATTGTAGCAGCAACTGATTCTCCAGTGTTTGTTAACTTGCGTGTTTGTTAAAACAAACAAACAAACAAACACGCAAGACTCCTTTTTGAGAGTTGCAACCGAATTCTGTTTTGGGTTAGGGTTGGGGTAGTGAGAAGAACTGAAGAAGGAGGTTGAGGTTTTCTTTTTTCTTTTTTAATTTGTTGTTGTGTGTTGTGTGTTGTGTTCTGAGGTGTTTTAGAGTGAGAAGGAGGAGAAAATGAGGGTTCGGGTTAAGACTTCAATGTTGAGTTGAGAGAGACAAGAAAATTGGGTGCCAGAGAGAAGATGATTTGGGGTTTGATAGGGCAGTGGGCGTTTGGTACGAAGGTGCGTTGTTGTGACTTTTTCTTTTTTGCTGTTATCTCTGACGGTGTTTTGTAAATTTTGTAACTCCCGTGCCACTAATAACGCCCTTTATTTGTTTTTGTTTTTTTTGGAATTCAATTTAAAACCAACTGTAAACAACCCCAAAAAAACTTTGAAACTAATTAATGTATTTATGTACGACGATAATACCTATTTTGAAATCAATTAAGGTGTAAATTAGTGCACTACACGTCTGAATCACGGAGAAAAAAGATTTAATTTTTTATTGGTGTCTGTCATTGGTTAATTGCTGAAAGTGAGAACGGTGTAAACTAGTGCAGTACACATGCGATGCACGAAGGAAAAAAAATCTAATTTTTTGTCAGTATCTGTCGTTGCAGGGGCGGACCGAGGGGGTGCTAGGGTAGGCGGCCGTCCCCCTCAAATTTGAAGTTTTTTTTTTTTTTTGGTACATAGAAGAAATTTTTTAACATAAGTATAATGCAAGAAACCTTCATTTTTTTCGCCATTAATGTGAAGTAGTTTTCTCCCACCGCAGAGAGTTTATAGAGCTTCTTTATATTCTCAGGTCCTATATATATTGAAACCCCTCTAACTCTGATTGTATTTTTTTACAAATTACATTAAGTATGATCAGTCATACACTCTTGATTAAAGTGTATGACGGTCAGACACAGTGTAGTTTGTAAGAGTTTCTAAAAAAAATTTGTAAATATAACCTTCCCCTTAAATTATAGTTTAAACCTCGACTTGAAACTTACAGTTTCTACTTTTATTATGCTTAGATGTTAGCACAAATCTTCTCATCCATGAATAAAAATAAGAAGTCCGAGAGTCTTACGAAAGAATGAACCTTATTCTTTCGACCCCTCTCCTTTTCTGATGATTCGTGATAGAGAGGGAAGTGAGGGGCAGAAGGGTTTTGGTGATTGTGCTTCTTGGCAATCTGTCTCTTCTGCTTCTGATTTATCTTTGGCTTTTTTTTCTTCTTGGGCTAACAGTGAGTAAATAGAAAAAGAGGTTAAGAAATGAGAGAGGTTTACTTTGAATTATCTATTTAGATTATAGTAATTAGTACATATTTTTTGTGAAATCTAAACCTTTGCTCTCTTCTCTTTTTCTTTGTATAAAAAATGTTCATTTTAGGGGTTGAAAATATGTAGTTTTTTAAATTGATAATAGATTTGACTGTGACATCTTCCACCTCTCTCTCCTTCTTTCTCTTTATAACAAGTTAAAAGAGGTATTTATGAGTTATGTTCTCTAGAGTGGTATTTCGGTCTCCCACATATTGTGGTTGAAAAAAAAAATTAATTTTTCGTATTTTGACCTCTCATATATTATGTTGGAAGAGAAAAACAAATATTTAATTTTTAGCCCCCCACAAGAAAAATTCCTGGATCCGCCAATGTGTCGTTGGTTAATCGCCGGAAGAAAAAACCGTGTCAATATTCTTTGTTAATTTTCGAGGTAAAAAAACTACAACACTCACATATAAATTTGTTAGTATCTACCACAAACAAAACTCTACAACTAAGAAACATGAATTGTTATGCAAATAAAAAAGTATTATATACTTTATATTTGATTATTTTCATATACAATAATACATATAACAGCAACAGTGATAAAATACATGTTATTTTACCAAATAGAGGAATATTATCGAGTAACAACGGCAAATATCCATTGGCATACATAAAAAAAAATTATTTTTGTAGATAAAAAGTTTAGGAAATGAAAAATTGTCAGGGCTCCTATGAAATTTCGAACCACCAAACCTTGACGTATATAAAATTCTCATAAACATTTATTAAATATTACTAAATATATTCTGCAAGGATATAATATATAAAACTGTCCGTCAAATGTGCAAATCTTCAAAAATAGCGTACTTCAATGGTTTTCATGTGTGTATTTATTCATAGAGTTATGTTCAATATCGGTCCATTACAATACGTATGAGGTATTATTAGATATACTCGACAAATGATGTTACACATAATTTATTCAATGATTCTTGAGTGAAATGAAATATAATATATAATATACATGACTCTTAAATATTACTGCATGGTTTAATATATTCCATTAATTATATGTATATACGTAGCATATTTATTATATTCTTAAATATTTATATATTAAAATTTAACATAATAAACCGAAAAGATTTACACAAAGTTAGTACAAAATTTTTCTAAAGTGATTTTGTGATAAATATGTAATTATTCCTATAATATGATTTGAAGAAAATTTTGATAAATAAAATTTTATGCAGGCCTATCAAGTTATAGCATGGTTCAAACAGTTTTAGGATGGTTTTTATATTTAAGTAGAAAATTAGTGAATAATATTGACAGTGGAACAAATTATAGGTTTTTTTTTTTTGGTAATCAGAACAAATTATAGGTTGTTCGATGTAGGGGTGACAATTTGGGTTGACCCGTCCCGACCCGCCACCAACCCGCCAAAAACGGGGCGGGGCGGGTTGACCCGTCAAAAAATATGGGTTGTCAAAATGAACCCACCCCGTTTTATGGTGGGTTGGCGGTTGGCGGGTCAACCCACCAACCCGCCAATTAAAAAAAATTAATTAAAATTCAAAATAAATTATATTTTATGAATTTTTTAATATTATTTTATTTTATTTCACACTTCTCTATATTTTTTTTAGTCTCAATCTTAAATGTATACTAATATTTGTCAAACATTATTTAGGAATTTATAAATAGATAACATTTGTCATAAATAAAATTGTTATTCTTTATTTTTTCTAGAAAGTACTAAGATAAAAAAAAATTGAATATCACAAAAATTTAAGTACTAATGAAATACTACCTAATTGTAAAAAAATAAAAAAATAATAAAAAAATTTAAAACCTGGTGGGTCAACCCGCCCCGCAGTGGGTTGAACCCGTTTTGACCCACTTCTAGGCGGGGCGGGTTGAGGTGGGTTGGTGGGTTGAAAATCTCAACCCAACCCGCCCCGTTTTGGCGGGTTGACCTGCCGGGCTCAACCCATATTGCCACCCCTAGTTCGATGTTAACTATAACAATGTATTTTTTTATAAGAGTTTGATATTTCTCATGTTATGAGATAAATATTATTTCTCATAAACATAAAAATATGTGAGTTACGTGAAAAAAAAAAAAAAGATAAAACATAAATCTCACACACATTTATTTGTGTATAAGAAATAAATTTATCTACTACAATATGAGGAATAATAAACCCTTTTTATAATTTTTAACAATGTTGCATTAAACCATGATAATAATAAAAATATTATATCAAGTTACCAATCATAATTACTTCTTTGAGACGAATAGACTCTCTGAATATCCTTACAAGTTTCGATTCTTTAAATAGAATCTGAGATTAAGATTTTATGCCGCTCGTATGATTGTTTATTTTACTATACTACCATTTAATTTTGTATTAATACATTATTTAATGAATTAAACTATATTAATATTACATCGCATCATTAATAAATGGAAGCATATTGCGTTTGGCAAGGGGAAAATTTAGATTCCTATGTCTAGGTCCGGTTTTAAATATATTGACACGAGCTGCTTTTATGAATCTGTTTTTCAGGGGTCAGCAAAATTGGAATGGAATTTTTTTGGTTAGGTTTGGGTTGGATAGGTTTGGGTTGGATAGTTACAATTGAGTAAGTGAGGTTGATGTTTTGTTGGGTGTTTATTGTCTTCTGATTTATTAAGAGTGAGAAGGAGGAGAAAAAGAGACTTCAGCTTCATGTCCAGACTTTAGTGTTGTGTTCAGAGAGGAAGGGAAAATGGGTGAGGATGGTGGGTGTTTGGTACAAGGTGGGTTGAGACTTCTCTTTCATTGTGTACCTGCCACAAGTAACACGGTTTATTTTGTTTTGTTTGTAAATTCAAAAACTATTTGCATATCCGTACGATGATGATATTATCGAGTAACATCGGCAATTCGTTCGTTGTTAACAATAACAATGTGTGTGTTTTTTTATAATGGTTAACAATGTTACATTAAATTACAATCATAAGAAAGAAAAAATTGTTACTAACAATGTGTCAATTTTATATTAACACATTATTTAATAAATTTCATTATAATAATATCACATCACATAGAACATAGATTTTTTCTATGTTCTTGTGCTCCACGTTCTCAGAAAAACACTTGTTAGTAACATGGAAGGCAATGTACTCAGAAAATAATACTTGGGCACTTGGCAACAGCAATAAAATAAAATGGAAGGCAATCGTACACTGAATGACTGAACGGTGTACATTTGAACATAAATACACCATGTGATCACATAACTGACAATCTTACAAGTTACAACAACAAATATTGCATAATTACTACATACATGTATCAACCGGACAAATCTTATTCCATTCGTAACCCAAGACAATCTCCTCAAAACCTTGAAACCACATTGGCTGCTTCGAGGAGGAACTTGTTACATTGTGGTTGAAAGCCCTCCACGCTTGACATCATATGTACAGACCGACAAATGGCCAGATCTCACATATCCGTGGACTGTGCAATTGATTTTGTAAGATTCACATCCCCTACTCCATTGAGCTTAGGTTTATCCCTACTAGGCTTTTGCGTGCTTAGTATCCCTTTCACATTAGTTTTAATAGGATTCCTGGCTGTTTGAGACCCAGGGCCACCCCCTGCTAACAGATTTAAGAAATAAAATTTAGAAGGTTCCATCCTAACATAATCCAACCATCTAAATTTTCAGATTGCTTACTATGTTTTTTTGTCAACATAAGACTTTCAGAAATGAATATGTTTACATAAAGTTTATAAATTGCAAAATAATTCTGAATTGTTAGTTTGATGAGCTTAGGTTTGTTTGTTTCCCTTGATAGGATGAAATATCTCGCTGTAATGGTGATCTTAGAGGCAGTAGTATGAATCAAAGATGAGGGAATCACAGGTGTTAAGAGACTCTATATTTTGGCAAAATAACAGCTCATAACAACAATAGATGCAAGATGTCGCTTCAATCGATGAAGAAGTATATATAAGTGGAAAAATATTCCCTAATACTAACAACCATTGAGTCAAGTGGTAAGGAGCTTATTTCTCTTAATCAAAAATCTCGAGTTCGAATTCTTGGGAATAGAGAAAATAATTTTGGGAGAGTCACCCCCTATACTGGGTCTGACAATGCTCAAACCGGACTAGTCAGATAATCGGTGGATATATCAAAAACATATATTCCCTAATGATGAGAGAGAGGGAGCGATAACCATTTTATCCAGTGGACCCCACTACTATGTGTGAGACGTCGCGCCTCCAATCATGTATAAAGCGAGTTGTTCATAGAGTGAGATATCTTCAACGAGGGTTTAAAAATCTTATTTTGGGGAGGTAAGGGGAGAGTGACCCTTTAAATGGGCCTCTAAAGGCCAGTCCATAGAGCAGGGCTATGAAACCGGTCCAAAACAAATTCCTTAGGGGGGTTTACAAAACATCAGTGATCACATTCTTTACTAAACAAATTTGCGATTACTTGGTGATGAGAATCCTCTTCCTGAGAGTAACATTTTAAGAGAATTGATAGCTCAACCTATCAGTACAGTGGAATGGGTCTTCAACAGTGTTGGCCAACATTTGTAAATTGGAAAATGCTAAACTTCACCAAAACTTCTCTACAATATTCCATACTAATCAAAGTCGCCATGCAGTTATTTTAGAAAACTACTATTCAACCTTATTGTGACTGTATCTCGCTTGGTGGTGATTGGTCATCAGCACTTCCGTAAAACTTTTCATGGAAAACATTCTGTGACAAATAGCATTGCTCTTGTAAATTAATGAATGCCTGAAACAGGTATTCATGCTACCAGTTAGAGTTTAAGGTTTACGGTCTTCTACAATGTTGGCATGCATCTGTAAATGAGGAGTGAATGCACCTAGATACATACAAACGCAATTCCTTTCGAACTTTTTGTCAAGCTCAAACTCAAACTGGTTAAAGTGGAATGCAATGATTAGGTTAGTTTACCTATAGTTCCCTTGATAATTTTTCCAGCCTGCTGAAGTGGCTGTAAGACCCCCAGACCCCAGTGTACAGGAAAATATAAAATGCACAGAAAGAGAACAAACTCACCAATGTTAGGCAGAGATAATCGTTTTTTGGCCTGCTTATTTGCCTGTGATGTTCTCTCCTTTGGATTACTATGAGATCTTGACCCAATCCCAGGTTTTGAGTTAGCTTCTTCAACGGGATTTCCAACATTTGCCTTACAATTTGGCTTAACAGGCTGTGCGTTTGATGATTCTAGCAAACCTGCTAACTTCCTAGGTGAAGAATCACAGCCATCAGAAAGAGTGGGACCAGTTCTCTGACTTGCAGGGTTGGGATGAATGTTTGATGCAAATGTTTTCTTGTTAGCAGATCTTAACTGAGGTCTGATTCCACTTTTACCATCCATAGCTCCATTTTCATGTACCCTCACTTCATCCCTCAGATTAATGTCAACAAAGCGATTCTCCCAAGGACGGACAGCCATCCATCTTTCCAACCAATTCCAACCCCAGCTATGTTTATCTGGTTCAAATCCAGAGGAAACAGCCTGATGTCTTGGTCCTGCCTGCCACTGCCAGGTGGAAATATTGAAAAATCTTACACCAAGCTTTTGGACTGAGAAGAAGTATCAAAGCAAATACAATAATGCAAAGCTGTTGATCAAGTGATGGGGAAATTGTTGGACAAAAGTTCTGTGTTCGTTTTGCTTCAAGGACTTCATTACCACTTGATAACATCATCTAGTAACCATACAATGTTATCCTATCAACATAACTCATTAACAGTCATAAAACTACGTTGCTTGATTAAATTATGTTTAAATTGGTACCATATTTTTCTTTTTATTTGGTTGGGAAAAACGACCTTGTATTCAGTATTCTCTTCCATAATTCTATATACAAACTTGTGTTAAAGATGGGCCATTCAAAAGCTCATATTGAACTTCCAATACTTTCGTAGGATATAACAAGCAATTACTTATGTCTCACGATGGAGAATAGCTTGAAGGCAATGAGGACTTGAACCCTGCTTGTACATTAATGATATTACAAATTTCAGATATTTCTTATTATGCAAGTTGCAGAAAAATTTAATTATATAATGCCCACCACCCATATAATTCAACAAGATAAGCTATTGTAACTTTACCTGATGAGCTAGAGCATATACCATGGCTCTCTCACGTCTAGCTGCAGCCTCCTGTCTCTTTAATATTTTAGCCTGAATTTCTTGAACAGATCCTACACTGTCACACCATCCTCCCTGTTTTTTTTTTTAAAAATAAAAAAATAAGTAAATAAAAACTCAGTTGCTACTCGCTATTATTAAGTTAGGAGGTGCCTTGAACATATATTTGATAAGAAAACAGCAATTTAATTACATTATATCATACCAAGCACTAAATTATGGCATTTTGCAAATACAGTTCTTTACAGAAATACTACCTTCATCAAAACATTCTGAGCACAAATGGGATGCACATGCAACTAGATCAAAATTAGAATGGCATTAGCACAGATATTTGTTTTGGGTGTCGTATTTGTATATGGTAACTTATCCCCACTTTTCTTCCTTCCTTCCTAGTTCCTTCCATTCTTTCTTTTCAAATTTTGTCAAGGTTTAACCAAGAACATTTCTGAAAGGAAACTATAGAAGTCCCGAGAGATATTGGACTTTGATGGGCCACTAGAGCCATTTACAAGAAGTTATAAAAGAAGGAAGGCTAGCACAAGTTCAGCCCAACAATGTATTGCTGTTCAACAAATTAATAAGGAGGTAGCAAGCCCAACAGTCCAGGAAGATGATCAAACAGCCCAAGAAGATAATTCTGGTCCAAGCCAAGGCAGCGATAAAGAGAAGAGGAAAGAGGTGGTCCAAAGAGATAGCAGAGGAATGGAGTTAGTTATGCAAAATGAAGGATTGGAGCAAGGAAATGTGATGGATGGTAGTTATATTGGAGGTGAGAGCGAGAGGGGTGTGAAGAAACTTGTATCAACTTGGGGAAAGGGAAAGGTGAACTCTACAAACGGGTATTGATTTGTAGAGGGAGCTGAGTGTGGGTCTTAGTTGTTGGTTCTGTATTTTGTGTCGTTGTTGAGTCATTCTGGGGTCTTGTGAGTATGTCTTTTGGAGACTGCAAGTGCTCTTTGTTATTGTTGTTGATTGAGTCTGTAATTCCCTGTCACTGTGTGATAGGTTGGAGTCCATTAGTGCTTTTCTGTAATTAGGAGACTCTAACTCTGGTGAGTTCATCCTAATGAATAAAATGGAGTCATGGATGTATTTCAGGAATTGATGTTGCTTCTCTGTTTTTTTTTAATAATTTTGCTATGAAATTGAACAAGTGTTAAGTGTTAAAATACCCACTGGTACCACCAAACTATCTCAAATTCATGAAGCTCAATTTATCAATACCCATCCCCCTGGTAAATGTATAATAAGGAAATAATAATGAAAGAGATGAAGATATTCCACAATAAAAAAGCAGTGTCTCTTTCAAAACAGTGCTCCTTACTTCTATTTCTCGATCTCTAGCTTCGCTTGCAAGCTGTTGCTGAAGTTTCTGCTCTGCAGCTTGACTTTCCACTGCTAAGCAAACACGCCTTGCCCGAACGCGAGCCTGAACCCTTACCAAAGCTTGCATACAACGGAGCGTTATTGCAGCTTGTTTTCTCACTGCATGGCCTCTTACAATGGCCTGAAGCTTTACCAATCCTTTCAAAGCTCGTAGTGCTCTTCTGGCCTGATAAATACAACAAAATTTTCCAGCTTGGTCAAAGTCATTGGCAAAAAAACACTCTTGAAAATGATCACTATAAGTCTCAAAATAAATACAGAAGTAAATAAAAGAAAGAAAGATCCTCAAAATATATATGAAGCACATCTTTAAGAAAAACAAATTAAATTCTGATTGCAGAAACATAACATCCTTGAGGTAGATAGATCACTTTAGTCAAGCACTACACTGCAGTATCTGATTCTTCAATGCAAAAAGTAACTTAAGAGAATAAGAAATACTTCTGAAGTATAAAGAGAAAATAAATAAATGCTATGACACCAACACTGCCCTGCATCAATTTAAATAGAAGAACAATATTTAAGGCAACAATTATTCAGATAATTTTTTTTAAAATAAAATATTTCAGTTCAGCTCAGACAATTAAGCAAAATTTAATACGAAAAATTACCAGAAATCCTCGAAATGCTGTTTGAATGTGTATTGCAGCCAATTCCTCCCTCTTAAGTTGATTATTATGTGCGGCATCATGTGCTTGTTGTGAAGTAGAAGGTGAATAATGGGCATCATGGTTTGGATGGCCATTGTCGTCTCCAATATGTGGAGTATCATCATCATCAAAATCGTTTGGAGGTTTATCATCAAATTCGATGGAATGCTTTCTCTCATGGCGAAACTTGCCAACCTTCTGATCATTGAAAAGATCAAGATTACACAAGGTTATTTTACGATATGAAATGTGTGGTGTTTTATACAAGGGGGGAACCAGAAGAACTCATTTTGGATGGGGGCAAACCTTAAGTGGCCTCTCTCATATGCTTAGAACACCATCTCTTGAGCTTAGCATTAACATTGGCCTGCCATCAGGTTTGGGAATGCAAATTCCCCCGTCATCTATAATGTGGGTCCACCACTGGTTTTACTTTTTATTATATTCAGTTTATATAGTTTCCAAGAGGAAAAAGTTTCTTGAGCATAGGCCAGAAGGGGATTTTTTAAAATGATCAATAACAAAACTACTTAATCGAGTTGAACCATGCTCTGACATTTAAAAAATCAAAACAACTCCACTAAATGTCCTCCGAGTATAACACTTGCACACAAAAAAACCAACACCTTTTCCCCACTTATGGGGTGCAGGACATGAGAAATAACTAAGTGATGACACACAACTTCAGCTAAAAGCACAATGTGTGATAATTACATTTGCCCACCAGAACATGAAAGAAATATTAAAAATCATGAATAGAAGTATAAAATAATTTTAAGAGAGAGAGAGAGAGATAAACTCACGTTTCCATCCTTCTCTGAAAACTCTGCCTTTTCTGATCTCTTTGGACCAACCAATGCTTTGATCCACTTCCTTGAGATACCCATTGTCAGCCCAAATTTACTTTATCCCAATCTAGCATAACCTGGCAAAGGAATTTTATGACCAAGTCAGTACAAAAGTAGTAGATTGCATGCAATCTTAACTAGCCTATTGAATAATAAGCTATGGGAATGAAGATGATGAAGCAGGTAGCAAAGCATCAAAGGGAGCACAAGCTTAACCGATAAAAACTATTTACAAGTGACAACTAACTCAAATTTGTCACAGTAACACACCTTCTTGTGACCTTCATAGTCTATATTGGTTATCCCTAAATGCTAGTAGTTCACTAGAATGATTATAAGAACAGGGTTTTAACTTTTAAGCAATCATAAGCAGTAGGGAAACACAAAACGCAGGACCTCATAATAACTCAAGTAGCATTCATTGTCGGACGAGGATTTGGGCTAACAAAGTTGCTACATATAAGGTGAAAATGCACCTTTTGAAAAGACTTGTTTTTTACCCTTTTTTTGGGGCCTTAAGTCTAATACTACTTGAACAAGACATTGACCTAGTATAAAACAAGGGCCATTTGTAAGGGTGCTCATGAGCTGAATAGCTCCAATATCAAACCCAGATTTCGTGCTGTGGGGAATCAGGCATAAATTGCAAACCAGAACACACAAGGCTAGCCTAGTAAAGTTCTTTCAACGTCATATTAAAACCTGCGCAATAGCCAAATGTAGTGAACAAGTTCAGATTGCGTTAGAGGGTAGAGACTACAAATAGTAGGAGTAATGCTAAAATTCCCAAAATTTGTAATTAAAATCTTATGGCAAATAACGTGGTAATCCAAGTCAAGTCATCAACTGTTAAGTGTTAACCATTGACAAATTCCAAAAAAAAAGAAAAAAAGAGACTTCAATAGAACTGTGTAAGAGCATGGCAAAAATGTCTTTTCAACCCATGTGCAAGTAATTGTAAGCTAGAATTTTTACACGAAACATGAAGTAAAAACGATCATAAAAAAGCGACAGATATTACAACAATCGAGATAATAGTAAGCAACACAAATTAGATAGGTAGTAATAAGAAAGGATGTTGACAAGTTCCCTTTGGTAGGATAACAACTGCGTTGACTCGGTTGCTTGAAAAATGAATTCACTGTTTGAGTTTGACGTAAATGCCCGATAGATTTGGTTGCTTCAGAATAGTTTAATTTAATTTAATTTCATTTCATTTCATTTAATGGCTATTGAAACCTAGAATTCCAAATAAAGACAAGAAGGTTTTGAGAGCAGAAAGGGAAACCGAGAAGGCACGAAAACAGCGCAGATTGCATAGTTGAAACGCAATTCACCTGAAAAGTCATAGCGAGCGAGACTGTTTCTGAGCTACATCATCATCATCGGCCACGAAAAACTAAGAAACCATCACTGAGTCAAAAGCCGAGTTCTCAGTCACTGAGTCAAAAACCTTTTCAGAGGATTTCAAAGTTTACTCGAGACTGCTCCGTTTCTAATTTCTATCACTCTGCAATACGTTTAACTGTTTAAGAGAAAAATAAAATAAAATGTTATCCAAAAAAAAAAAAAAAAATTAACGCGGAGGAAGTGAATTATGAATAAATGTATAACTCAATTTAACAAATAATTAAAGCCATCATTTTAAAGAAGTAGTTTTAACTTTTAAGGGATTTATTAATTTAAAAATAAAAATTCAGAGGGAGCATAGACCGGAACAGTGACCAATTCATCACATATTGGTCACTTTTTTACCAATGTGTCACCCAACACTATTATTTTGCAATATGTCATGTGTCCAAGTTCACTATAGCATGTAAACTTGGTTTTCTGATGTGGCATGTTTCTGGTGGCCACCTAATTTACTACTGGCTACATCGAACTAGGTGGCAATTAATGCCACTTGCTATGCCCATATGTCATGCCATGTGGCAGGCTAAGAGGAGTTTGTTGGACCGCAACGGTAATAAAAAAGACGTGGACAAGTTCACTGTGGTGGGTAGCGAACTTAGTCCAACAGCTACCCACCCCACCCTTGCCTAAATAAACCCCCTCTTCCCCCCACACCCAACTCCCTCTCCCTCTCCTTCCCTCTTTCTCTCACTTACACTACCTCTTTCTCTTTCTCTCTATAACCCTTTTTTTTGGCAAATTTGATATATTTTAAAAGAAGCATCATAAAGGTTAATATAGAAGATAGAAAGTCTTGTGTCAACTGCATGGTCTACCCTGTAGAGTGTGCCGCTACGCAACATAAGCTAGTAGTTCTAGAGGTTCGATTCAACAAAGTACCTAAAATAAGGAAGATGGTTCAAAACCCAAGGATAAGATGATGGAAGCTAAAGGAGGAAAAATTATTATAGTTCAAAGAAAGAATGTTGCAAGAAGGACCATGGAAGTTTGTTGGAGGAGCTAATGAAATATGGAATGAGATGACTATGTGTATCCAAACTGTGGGAAAGAGATGCTAGAAGAAAGCAAAGGAATTGGATTCCATACAAAGGAAACATAGTGGTGGAATGGAGAGGTGCAAGGGGCAATTAAACAGAAAAAGAAATGCTTTAGATCTTTGCATAAAAGTCTCAATGATAATAATTTGCAAAAGTTTAGATTGACGAGAAAAATGTAAAAAAAGCAGTGCGAGAAGCTAGAGGTAAGGCTTTCGTCGATTTGCATAAAAATCATGGCAGCAAGAATGGTGAAAAAGGTATATACATACTTGCAAAAATGAGGGATAAGAAAAGTAAAGACCTCACTCGAGTTAGATGCATCAAAGATGAAAACTAAAAACTTTTGATAAGAAATGAAGATGTAAATGAAAGATGGATGAACTACTTTAACAAACTTTTTAATGGGGATGGTGATAAAAGAGAGGTGGACTTGGAGGATGTTATGATAATCTGAATAAAAGATTTGTGCGCAGAATCAATACACATGAAGTTAAAAAGGCTTTAAAGAGGATGAAGACTAATAAAGCTTTGGGACCCGATGGCGTACCTATTGAAGTGTGGAGGGGTTTGGGGAGGTGGCAATAAATTGGCTGACCACTCTTTTCAATAAGATTCTTCAAACAAATATGATGCCTGATGCTTGGAGGAAGAGTGTCCTTGTGTCTATTTACAAAAACAATGGAGATGTCCAGAATCGTTCTAACTATAGAGGCATTAAGCTTATGAGTCATACTATGAAGTTGTGGGAGACAGTTATTAAACATCGTTTGAGGAGAGAGACCAATGTTTCTGTAAATCAATTTAGATTTATACCAGGAAGATGTACCACAAAAGCTATTTTCTTGATGCGTCAATTGATGGAAAGATATTGAGAAAAAAGAAGGATTTACATATGGTGTTCATAGATCTTGAGAAATCATACGATAAGGTCCCAAGAAAATTTTTAAGGTGGGTTCTTGAGAAGAAAAAAGTACCTTCAAAGTATGTAAATGCAATCAAGGATATGTATGATGGGGCTACTACATGTGTGAAAGCTTGTAATGGAACATCAAGGTATTTTCCTATTACCTTAGGTGTACATCAAGGTTCGGCTCTGAGTCCTTATCTCTTTGCCTTAGTGATGGATGAACTAACAAAAGACATTCAAGAGGAAGTGTCGTGGTGTATGCTTTTTGCAGATGATATTATGCTTATTGATGAGACCAAAGGCAGTGTTAATAGGAAACTTGAATTATGGAGAAGCAATTTGGAGTCTAAAGGTTTCACGTTAAGCCGGAGCAAGACTGAGTATATGAAGTGTGAGTTTTCTCTGGTAAGAGATGGAGATCAAGACCAGTGTTATCAGACCCGGCCTGACCCAGCCGGGTCGACTCGGAACCCGGTGACCCGGTGACCCGGTGGGGTAACCAGTTTGGGTTGCACTTTGGATCGGCTATGCAATCAGCCCAGTACGACATGGACGACCCGGCCGGGTTTTGACAGAACCTGTTGACCCTCCGGGTCTTATGAACCAATGCGCGGGTCAGATACTCAAATTGAAAAAAAAATCACTCTAATAATGTCCCTAAAAAGAACACAACCCAGAACCAGAAGAATCCCTAACCTAAGCCATAAACTTAAAACCCATTTCATCTTTGTTCTTTTTCATAGATTCGTTTTCTCACCTCTTTCTGCTCAGAGCTTGGAACCCACAAGCTTCAGATTCAAGTTGATCCAAGTTACTCTCTTTGTGATTTGTTTCTGCCCACAGCTTGGAACCCACATCTTCTCACAGGTTCGTTTTCACAGATTCGTTTACTCAGATTTGTTTTCAGCTTTTACTCACAGATTCGTTTTGAAGTCTCTACCCACAGCTTGGCTCCATAATAAAGGCGTTTTGAAGTCTTTTATAAAAATGTAGTAGGATGAACATTTTTTTTATAAAAATTGGAGGATTTATGTTGTCCTTGGTCGGATAGGCCTCAAATTATACAAACAATGGCTTTTATAAAAATGCAGTAGGATGAACATTTTTTTTTCATTTTAATAAAGGATACGAATTATTTTTAACTCATGTTAATATTTTTCTGCACATTCAACCATCTTTTTCACATTTTGCATTTTTTTAAATGATGTTAGTGCATGAGATTGACAATTTTTCATGATATTATTTTTAATGAAGTTGCATGTTTATTATCCCCACAATGATTCAAAGAAGATCGAATCATATTGCCTATTGCAGCTGCTTGACATATTGAAGACAAATATGTTTATTATTTTTAATGAAGTTGCATGTTAATATTATCCCCGAAATGTTCATTTGTCTCTGCATGATTATGCTCCCAAAATTTGATAACAAATATGCAGCTATCTTCGTTGCAGGATTATGCTTCCAAAATAGTTGGATGTTGCACTTTGAAGATTTGAAGACTCTGTTTTATATTTTACCTCACTTCAAATTGGATGAGTTGCAAGAGTACTTGCTTATGATCATACCTTGTAAGTTTTAACTTTCTTCATGTAATCTGGTATTAATTGGGTTATTATTATTACTTTGTTTTTTTAATTATGATCGTGTTATATTAATTTTATGTTACTTGATATGGACCAGATGTGTGTACCCTTATATAACTAGAGGCGATTGCCAAAGAAAAATATGGGTGAATATCTGCAGCATTTGGTATCTGTTTGATATCTGCAGCATGCACCATAATATTTCCAACTTGCATTTTGTTTTAATTTTGACTTATTGCATTCCCTGGATTTGCCCAACTCCATGGAGATCCCTTCTAGTTGTTATCTTTTTTGAAAAATGTTTGTGTACTATACTTTTTAGTGCTTTAAATCTAATAATGTTGAATGCTTGTGCGAACTAATCTAGTTCCAACCACCAATGAATACAAGTTTCCTTTGCATAATTCAGAAAGTCTATCTTAGCGCACATTGTATTTTTTCTGGTGGTAGTGGGGCTAGCATGTCACATGGCCATAGCTACCATTGCACCATTATAATAAGGGTATGCAACTACCATTTTTTAGTGAAGATAAGCCTGCCATGGGATTTCTTTACCAGGCCATAATTAAAGCGAGATAGGAGATGGAGAAGAGGTTTCAAAGAAATAAGAAGAAGGTTGAGCCATATTTGAAAATCTTATATACTTGTTGGGATTCACAGCTTCGTAAAAATTTGCATGCTGCAGGTTATTGGTTAAATCCAGGATGTCATTTCAATGTAGATGAATTTGAAAAATATGAATTCACAACATCTGACCTTTTGGATGTCATTGAGAGGTATTCTTATGGGGATTCTAAGTTGCAATCTAAATTGACAAATGAGATGAGGATATTCAAATATGCTCAATCTGATTTTGGAAGGCAATCAGCTTTACGTGAACGAAATACAGTGATGCCTGGTAAAATTATTAACTTATTATAGTTGAAAATATGTTAGTATGAATTTATGAATACTAATTTATTTTATTTCGTTCCAGATAAATGGTGAGAATGTTATGGCTTTGGTGCACCGAACTTGAGAAAATTAGCAATCTGTCCTAAGCCAAACTTGCAGTGCGTCAGGCTGTGAGCAAAATTGGAGTATATTTGAGCATATTCATTCAAAAAAAAAAGAAATAGGTTACACCATAAAAAGCTTAATGATCTTGTCTACGTTTGTTGCAACTTGAATCTGCAAACAAAGTATTATCATGTTCATTCGATTTTTACATTCTTTTATTATATTATATGAATCACATAAATTTCCTACTTTTTTTACTTAACATGAAATCTGATTAGTCTATGATGGCAACTTGATTGATCATTGCATTTGATTAGACTCAGCGATATATTGGATATACGACTCTGCTACGGTTTGTGAATGATGGATATACTAGTTTCTCTTCTTAGATATACTTGATATTTGAAAATTGGATTCTACTTTCAATTTTGTAATTAATGGTGTAATCCTGTAAATTGAATATTTGTAATGTTAATATAAATAATATGTGCAACTAGTTTTCTGATGTTTAAAATTCAAAAATTTAGGGATCAAACTAAGCGCCAAAATTATGACC